CCCGCGCCGACGAGACCCATGGCGAGGATCGCATTCACGGCCACATCCAGGTCGCTGTCGTGCGAGTACTTGGACAGCGTGTCGAGGATCGTGAGCTGCGGGTTCGAGGCAGAGATGAGCGCGAGCGCGAGCGGCACCGCTCGTCGGATCACCGGGCGGCGGAGAAGTCTCAAAAGAGAATGCCGGGCGGTCCGGCGACGAGCGCGCGCGCAGCTTGAGCATCGTGACTTGATTGAAGACGCGGGGGCTAGCTGGGAGGCTAGCTTGCCACTTTTGTCGTCAAGTTGGGCGGCTGGGTGGGGTGGTGGTGGAGTAGCGATCGAGGAACCAACGAGCGGTCCTCGACGTAACGGTCACGAGGGGAGAAAAAGGGGGGAGAGGGAGAGGGGGTGTCGCTGACGGGAAGCGGGGTTCAGCAGCGGAACGGATCGACCAACACGAGCCTGATCTGTCAGTTGTGCTCCGTGTTGAGAGATGAGCAGAGTGGTGGTGACGACTTGTGGTCTGGAGAGCTGGTGGCGGCGACGGGCGGCGATCGTCAAGGGGCGCTTTCGAGCTGTGACACCTAATTTCCGGATGGTGTTATCAGGTCATATCTGTATCACCCTCGGCTCAATCTCGCCCTTGTTTTACCCTTCAAACCCTTTCCGCCGCTGCCGGACCGTGCCTGGGAAGCATCTGGCTGCTCCGAACCTCCGCCGCTGCTGCTAGCCATGTGCTCTCTGTCATCTGTGCGAGCTTCGCCAGCTGCCAGCACAAAATGTAAACATGAGAGGCCGTCTCCACCTCTGTAGCTGCTCGTCCCTATCCACGACTAGCTGGGGCCCAGTAAGCTCCCCGGGGCACAATCGCGACGGGGGAAGGGTTACAGGAATGTGTATCTGACGGTGTCCATGGTGCCCGCTTTGTTTCGTCTCCGGGACAGTGAGACTGTTGCAATTGTCCACGAGGGATCAGCGTCAGCGTCCTGACAACCTGATGTGCGCTGATGTGCATGTGGAAGGAGAAGGAGGCGTTGCAGACTATGATACCCAGCTAACATGATGCCATCCGTGGTTTAGGCGAGACACATCCGGGATGATACGGAGATAGAGGGGGAGTCCGCGTGTCCGGAATGGATGTCCAGCCGATGAACGTGACAAGCCGCCACCTGCCGGTGAGTGAGTCCGGCCAGGACAGGCAGGACAGGCAATCGGGCAGCCCCGCTTCGGACAAGAGGAGACTGCGCGGGACATTCAGCTCATCCCACAAAGCAAAGTAAGGAACAGCGCACGTCAGTACGGAAACGAGATCGAGACGCGACCCAATTCTCTCCCGTAGCACAGCCTGAACTCTATTATCATATCATGCTTGACCCAAACTTCCAGTATTATAGATCAACTGCTGCGACGGAAATGTCTGCACATCACTGGTCTCAGCAAGGTTGCAGCCAGTGTTAGATGACAGATGCACTGCTTCTCAGTGGGCGAGTGGGCTGATGAGATGTCGGGACCGAGTTCGCAGGGGGGGCGAAGGAAGAGGCGGCAAGGGTCCTACATGCATGTGCCTAGAAGCGTCAAGCGGCGCGCGGCGCGTTGGTCGGGTCCTGCGATCCTATGCACAGCGTGACGAACAGGAGTCCTCCTTCAGCCCCTTATTCATACCCGTTTCATCGCTTTCCTCTCTCTCTTTCTCACATTCTTTTCGCCTTCTTAGCCTTCTTCCTTCTCTACTACCTTCTTCACTACCTCCTTCTCAACCTCTTTGCTCCAGCTACACCATGCTCGTCGCTTCTGCTCTCGCCGGCCTCGCCCTGGCCTCCTCTGCCTCTGGTACGCTCATGGACAGACCCATAGCTAACCCCAGCCGCCCTCGTCATCACCTACCCGCACGCGGGCGCGACGTGGTTCACCAACGGCAGCGTGACCCTCAACTACACCGGCGGCGAGGGCGACCCGCAGCACTGGACGGTGCTGCTGACGAACGAGGACCAGGAGCTCCTCTCAGGCCCTCAGCAGATCCTGCAGCAGCTCAACCTCACCAACGGGTTTGTCAACATCCTCCTCCCCCAGGTCCGCGAGGGCGACGGGTACATTGTGCAGTTTGCCAACGAGACGAACCAGACGGACATCTTCGCCAAGTCGGAGGCCTTCCGCATCGAGCACGGAAAGCTCCCCAACACCACCACTGGCTCTGCCGCCCCGAGCTCGACGTCGAGCTCTGTCCACGTCCCCATGGGCAGCAAGACTAGCACGAGCAGCGGAAACCCCTTCGCTACCTCGTCTACCGCCGCGGGCGACAAGAGCGGAGCCGGCGCTATCGCCCCCGCTGTGGGCGGTGCGGCTGCTGTCGCCGCGGCTGTTCTGGCGCTCTTCTAAGCGAGCTCCGACCAAGCCCGTAGCGTAGCGCAGCGTAGCGTCGCACAGCGCTGATACCGAACCCGGATCCGACCTTGCACAATGTCTCGCTCGCACCACCCACACAGGACACCGACACAGGACTCTTCCTCTGCGATCCGCGCTACACTTTTGCGAAAACAAATCACCACCCAACTTGTGCACCTACGACCACTCTTTATAACTACCTCTCTCTCTCTCTCTCTCTTTGTGTTGCTACGTTTGATAAACTCTAGTTCTTACTGCCTGACCGTTTCTGTGAACAATGGGAATTCATGCACTCTCGTGAAGGCGCCGTGATCGGGAGCGTAGGCGTGATCCGTGCACTGAATGACGCAACGACTGTCTGACGCGAACACATGGCTGTGGTGGCTGACGCACTGCGCGCTGATGCTGTTGCGCGCGTCAGTGTGTGCTAACAGTGGCCTTCTGAGTGATGCGCGGACGGACTGTCCAGAACACATCCACACACGCGCACCGCCCTCCCGCCAGCCAGCCCCGGGTAGTGTAACATTGCTTCATAACCGCCTGTCTACAAAATCTACTATGCACCGACGCCTTTACTGGTCCTCCGCGTCGTACGCCTCGTTCTTCTTGATGTAAACCATGCCCTCGAGCGTGTTCGAGTACGGGAAGTACTCGTTTGTGCCGAGCTCTGCGCGCTCGGTCGTGCCGACGCGGACGGGCGTCTGGTGCGTCTGGAAGCCCGAGATACCACTGCGCGTACCAGCGAGGCCAATCGTGTTGACGGCCTGGCCCACGCGGACGGTCACGTCCTTCTCCTTGTTGTCCTCGTCGAGCGTGATGAGGAACTGCGGGAACATGGCCAGCGCGAGCCAGTACAGCTGCCAGTGGTGCTTGGCGAGGACAAACTTGCGCGCATTCGTGAACGACACGAGCAGCGAGAGCAGGCCCGCGATCGCGTTGCCGCTCAGAATCTGCCGGTCGTGGAAGAACGGGTTGATCCCGATCGTGCCCTTGCCCATGTGCACAAAGCCCTGTGCGATGCGCACCATGAACAGGCAGTCGGGCTCCTTGGCGTAGTACGACGCGAGGCCGCGGAGCATCTGCGCCAGACGCGCATTGTTCGTGCCCGCGCCGACGAGACCCATGGCGAGGATCGCATTCACGGCCACATCCAGGTCGCTGTCGTGCGAGTACTTGGACAGCGTGTCGAGGATCGTGAGCTGCGGGTTCGAGGCAGAGATGAGCGCGAGCGCGAGCGGCACCGCTCGTCGGATCACCGGGTCGCCGTACGTCATCAGGTGCTGGAACTGGCGCAGAGCCATCTCGGCACCGACGTCCTCGCCCATCGCGATCAGCGCGATACCAATGACGGCCATCGCCTGATGCCTCATGTCGGCCGCCTTCTTCTCCTCCTTTTCCTCGTCGTCCTCCTTGTCCTCGGACGCGGCGGCGTTGGCGTTGGCGTTCGCGCTGCCCGGCGTGGGGAAGGCTGCAGCGGGGCTGGCAGCGTCCATGTTGACGTCGCCGTCCTTGCTCTCCTTGGCCTCCTCGCCGTCCTTCTCGTCCTTGTCCTCGGCATCTCCCTTGCTCTTGCCCTTCGAGTTGGCGTGCTCGGCGCAGAGGTGCAGCATCGACTGGATCTTGAGCACGTTACCGGTGGCGGCGTACGAGCAGACCTCGACGAGGATCTCGGCGGAGCGCGCGACGGGGTGCTCAATGACCTTGAGGGTCTCGAGCGTGGCGTCGGCGGCGTCCTGTCGTCCGAGGAAGATGAGACCGAGGGCAAGAGCGAAGAAGATGGCCCACTCCGAGTCGAGCTGCGCATCCTCACGCTCCATGAGCGACTGCAGGATAATGCTGGCGACGTCACCGTTGCCTGATCCGACGTAGACAAAAGCCATGGCGAGGGCAGCGTTGGCGGCAACGTCCATCGACGACGACTCGTCGGCAACGTAGGGAGCAAGGAGCTCCACGAGGTAGTGGCGCTCAGAGCCAGCGTACGCCATGCCGAGACCGTTGATGGCGGCAATCTTGATCTCGGAACTGGGGTTGTCGACGTTGTCCTGGAGAAGCGCAAAGGCCATGTCGGGCTGGGGGCGGATGTTGGCACAGATGATACCAATGGCGAGATAGGCACCAGCCTTGATGTGCTCCTCCTCCGAGTAGGTGTAGTTGTCAATGTGGTTAATACCACCCTCGTGGTCCCAGATCAAGCTCATACCCGACGAAGCGGCGGCGCTCATCATACCGACGTCCTTGTTCTTGTAGATGAAGTTGGCCGAGGGCTCCGGCGGGTTGACAATCATCTTCTCATTTCCGAAACCGGCGTTGACGAAAGCGTTGACAAACGTCGAGGCGAGGTTGTCGCGCGCCGAGTTGTAGTGGACACTTGACGAAGTCTCGAGGTGCGACTTGTAAATGTCCTCGGGAGTGCGCGGCTCCTCAACACCGACAGCCTTTCCGAACGTGCGGAAGTAGCTGGACAGGTTGCTGTTACCGAGGCACTCGGTGAGCTCAGTGCTGAGCTCGGGCGGGGGCGGTCCCCACTCGTCTCCCTCCTCTGTCTCAGGCTCCATGGTATCGAGCGTCTGGACCCAATGGTTGGGAATGTTGGCACGGGCAATGATAAAGGCGAGCTGCTTCTTCATCACGGGGTTGGCGGCAGCCTCGAAATACTTGCGAACGAGCTTGCGGTCGTGCAGGCGGATCGCAATGGCGAGGGCCTCCGGGAGGCGGTCATGCTTGGCGTAGATGGTGGCAGCGGTGCGAAGGAAGCGCTCGTCGTCGGGAGGGAGGAGGAGCGGGACCATGCTGACCATGTACTGGCAGACACGGGGGTAGGCGTTCACGTCGACCTTGTCGCCGAGGACCTCGATGCACTCGAGCTCGAGACACAGGTCGACGGCATCAGCCTCGGCGTTGTGCTTCAGGAAGAAGTCGACGAGCTCGAGGCCGAGCGATCGGAGCTGCTCCACGCTGTACTGCCGCCTCGGGTCCTTCTCCTCCTCGGTCGTAGCCTCTCCGTTCGTCTGCTTCTCGCCGTTGGCGGGCGCAGCCGTCTCGTCCGTCGGGTTCTCGATGAGCGCAGTGTACTCCTCTCCGAGCTCGGCGGCGAGATGGCGGACGTACTCGTGGCCCCACGAGCCGGGCGCCTCCTCGGACTCGGAGATCAGGCGGTAGTACAGGGTGTCGCGCTTGCCGTTGTCCGAGTACGTCATGGCGAGCACCGAGAGAATGGAGGCGAGGAGCGCACGCTGCTCCTTCAGCTCCTTCGGCCAGCTCTCGCGGATCCGGCCGAGCTCCTCGTAGTGTGGCCGCAGGAACTTGAGCGGCTTCGGGACGCTGGTCATCGACGACGTCGAGGTGCGGATCAGCGTGCGCAGCGACTCGAGGGCGGGGAGGTAGAGATTCGTGTCGGACTCCTGCACTTGTCAGCTTGCCTCCGAGACGGCGCAGCTTACCTTGAGACGCTCGACGAGCATCTCGAGCTCAGTCTTGAGCTGGAGGTCTTCCTCGGACTGTCTGTCAGCAATGATGTAATACAGCTGGCTACGGGGCTGCCCAAGAGCCCTCGCAAGGAGCCACTTACGATCTCCGGCTCCTCCTTGTCGTCCTGGCGCTGCTTTCCCTTGTCGTGCTTCGGCGTAAGGTCCTCCTCCTTCTCCGGGTCCTTGGAGGTGACCATGATGTCGACAGCGTTGGGGTCCTTGCCGTCCATCGTGCAGATTACCGGTCTGGCGGTGTGGTCGAAAGTAGAGCGAAAGGGCGGGAGGGGAAAAGTGGGTTGTCGAGATTCTCAGAGTGACCCTTGCCTGCCACTTGTTGTCAGCTGTGTGGTGCGGACTGCAGTCGAGAGGTAAAGGTCGGAGAACTGTGAGAACACGGTGGATGATGGCCCAGCAATCCGATGAGCAAGCGAGCGGAGAGGGCGACGCGCGGTCATCGATGACTGCACGACCACGTGGCAGACAGGGAGGCAACCGGGGTTAAACCCGCGGAGGCTGTGTGGCGGATGGCTGCCGCTGAGACTGGTGATGAGGGGTTGAAGAGCTTATGCATGCTGGGCAATGCATTAATTAGAATCAGGAGGGAAGCATACGTGCATGCGTATCCGCTCAGAACGTCTTTCCTCTGATAGGTACATGTGGCGATGACTGGTCGAGTCTCGGCGCAAGTGATCGCCCTTGAAGCGGGCAACACATGAGTGGCACAACTAGTAACGGAGCTGGTGGCAGCCATACCTTCGCCTCCGGCTACGCGACTGCCTCACAGTGACCGCTCCCGACTTTAGTCTGCTCCTGCTGTGTGTGGTGGAGCCACTGAACTGACACTCCTTGATCCCGGGCCGAAACTACACTGGTACTGATTCCATCGCAGTGCTGCGTGAGGCGCTGTCGAGTGATAGCGATGCAACTGGACTACTAACCATGCACTGTGGGCTTCCCGCGACGGTGTTCACATAAAGGAGGAGAATATGGAGACACTTGCGGCGCCGAGCCCAGAAAGGTATACATCGTTCATATGGCGAAAGCGGTGCTTTCCACACTGTCGTTGTTGTTCATGAGTTTCCTGTTCGCTGAAGTAGAAAGGGCCGACGTGCTGCCTCATTCGCGGCTTCTAGTCCGGAAGGCAATCACTGCGGTGGAAAGCTTGGAGTTTGGCTTTGGCCACTACCTCCCTCCTCGACACTCGCGGAGGAATCGAAATGCAAAGCCGTCTGTCACACTGGTGCAATCAGCCTGGATAGGGAGACCACCAAAACCTCGACTGGTCCTAGCACGCCCCCAGCATATCCGTATCGCCCGATCTGGTGCCCCGCCGCATCAGTTTGGTGCAGAGACTGTGACTTCAAGTTGGACATCGGCCGTCATTCAGCCTGGCAGATGCGTAGCAACTGCAGACGTCGAGCACGTCGCGAACGCACATGACGACTCTCCACTAAGCGCAGTCAAAGCGTTATCTTTTTCGAAGCGGCCACAGATCAGTTACAATAGTTGTCAGTCCGCAGTGCTCCCCAGTCAGCAATTAGTGTATCAGAATTACATATGATAACCATTACGAGCCCCGAACTGCGCCTATACGACTCTACTCTATACGCCTGCGCCCACGCCCACGCCCAGCCTACTTGGTCTTCTCCGTCTCCTGGATGGGCTCGCCCGCCTTGGCCAGCTCCTCCTTGTACCAGCTCGTCCAGCGCTCGAGGCCGTCGACGACGCCCACAATGGGGGTGTAGCCGAGGAGTCTCCTTGCGCGCTCCGAGTCATAGTACCTCTGCTGCGTCGCAAAGGTGACGCGGAAACGGGTGAAGCCCGGCTCGCGGCCGGTGAGCTTGGAGAAGATCTCGGCGAGCGTCGCCAGGATCAAACCGAGCGCAGTCGGGAGGACAATGGTGTAGGGCGGGATGTGGCCGAGCTCGCGCCAGACGGCACGGGTCCAGTCCCAGAACGCGACGGGCTCGCAGTTGTTGATGAAGAATGCCTGGCCCGCGACCTTGGCGCCGGGCGCGGGGCCGTCGCCGTTGTCGTCCGTATCGGCGAGTTCGGCGAACTGGTCCATGCGCGACCGGAGGACGGGGCGGAGGTCGGACGGGTCGACCTCGTCGCTCTCGAAGCGCGCGGCGCAAACCTGGTCCTCAGGAGTGGGGTTGACCTTGGGGCCGAGAGGGTGCGCCTTGGAAGTCGGGATGCGGTGGTGGCCGAGCGACAAGTCGACATTGGGGAGGGGAAGGTGGAGGCCCTCAACAGGGTACGTGGTGTCGAGCTTGTCGGCGGCGAGAAGATGGGCGTGCGCCACGTTGCCGACGTAAGTCCAGTCGAAGAGGTTCTCGTTCGAGCCGATCTGGAACTTGGTCTGTCCGTTTTTGACCACCGAGTAGAAGCCAGAGATCGCCTGTCGGTCGCCAGGGCCGAAGATACCACTCGGTCGCAGAGCGCAGGTCAGCAGCTCGTCGCCGTTCGCCTCCAGCACCAGCTCCTCGGCCTTGGCCTTCGTCTCGTTGTAGGCATCGAGGGCCACCTTCGGGTACTTGATGCGCTCGTCCGCGTTGATCAGGTTCTCCTTTCCGCTGTAGATGACTCCGGCGGAAGAAGTGTACACCAGCTTCGGGACGCCGGCGGACTTGCACGCCTCGATCACAATCTTCGTGCCCTCGACGTTCACCTTCTCGTACACTTCCCGTCCGAGACCGTGGGGAGGCGACGCCGTGTGGATCACAATCTTGGCGTTCGACTGCGGGTCAGCTTCTGGGAAACATCGAAGCTGCGCTCTCCGCTCACACACCTTCCTAATAGCGTCCGAGACATCCTCAACCTTCGTAATGTCGCCGGTGTAGAAGTTGATGTTGCTGTTGTCAGCTGTGGCTCATATCGTTGAAGCTGGTCACACCTACTCGTCGAAATGCCTCTGAACGATGTCAAAGACGGAGACGTTCTTCTCGCCACGGCCGACGAGGGCCTCAACGATGTGTCGTCCGAGGAAGCCGCATCCTCCGATGACGAGGTAGCTCTCCTGGGTGGGAGGCGAAAGAGACATGGTGAGCTGCCGGGGAAGGGGCAGTCGGGGAAAAGCCGGGAGATTGGAAGTGGTGGTGGGCGGTGGTCTTTGTTAACGCCTGTTGTATGCACGCGAGCGGTGTCGAAAGCTGTTAAGCGATGAAGACGGCGTTGAGCGTTGTTTAGAGAAAGACCGTTTTGGTTGCTGTGAGAAGAGTGACGAGGAAGAAGCTGAGGAAAGGAGATGAGGGGAAGAGAAGGCAGAGAGAGGGTTAACCGCCGGGCCGTTGATGCCAGCCAGGACGCAGGCTGTCAGTCAGGGCACGACCGCCCTACGCGTCGAACGATCTCACGCCTACCGATACCACCGCCGAGGATGCCTCCGCTCTACCCACCCGCACAATCTTTCGGCGACTTTTGCTCAGTCTGCCAGCTAGTAGCTTGCATAGCCGTACATACCGGCCAGTTCCTCAGCTTTAGATAGGTATACGATCAACATGCATTGATATACAAGGCTCCTACAGCGTACGTCCATCGGTGATACACCCTCCCTCCACCTCCCTGAGCGATACCGGCCATCTACCGGCCCTCTCCCAGCCTCGGTACAGCGACAAGCTTCCACGCAGCTCGCAGCTCCGCCAGGCGTCTTTGCGACCGGCAGCAGGACGCCGAGGCGTTCACATCCTCTGCTGCTTCCTGCCCTGCCCTCCGCACGTGCAGCTCTAACCCGCCTACGGCGTGACAGGGGGCGCGGCGTCGCCCGACGGCCACACCTTGAACAGCAGCCACAGCAGCACGAACGCTCCGACAATGTACGCAATCAGCCGATATTGCCTCATCGTCGAGGCCGAAGCCATTGAGCGCGAGTGATGGCGCGACGTCGAGAAGAGCGAGTTGGCAAAGTTGGTGAAGGTGTTGGACTGAAAGTCAGCTGGTCTGCACTACCGCCTTAAGGTTGGACACCGCCTTTGCCGGATCCTGTGGACAGCACCCGATAATCGATACGTTAGGTTGCGTAGCTGTACACCGGCGACAGCAATGCCTACCGGCGGGTTGTCTACAGGGCAGGTCGAGAGCACGGTCGTCTAAGAGTCCAAGTATACGTACAGTCTGGCCGAGCTGCGGGAGTCAGCTACACGTCGCAACGTAAGCTTGCGAACTCACTTGGTCATTTTGTCTGTTGGCGTCGTCGAGAATGTCGATCGTGACCTGAGGGTCAGCTAATGTTTATGGAGTGTTAGCAAGAGGGACATGACACCGAGCAGCTCGGCGTCGCTGGCTACACCTCTTCGCCGTCCGACACGCACATGACGGAGTGCCTTGATCTTTCCGTGGAGCGAGTTGAGCTCTGCCTCGTTCTGGTTCTCGAGCGTCTGATCCGTCTGACTACGGCTGCTCGTCAGCAATGAAGTACTAAGGGCCACGCACCTCATGATGATTTCAGATTACAGGAAGTTTACGAGTGGCAAATGGTGTGTTGGAGCTGGGAATCGGGGGTAGCGAAGGATCGTGCAGCGTCGCCGAGAGCAGGTGGGTATGACGGGGATCACAGAAACGAGGGAGATGCTTGGAGTCGACGGCGTGTGGAGAGGGATGGATGAATGCAAGATGGTGGTAATGTTGGGGTCCACGGAACGACCAGGACGCGAGCCGTGATGCACCTCGCGTGGGTCTGACGGTGCGGCCAACCTGCCCTTGGACCGGCCTCCACCGCAGGCGAGTCTAATTCATCGTTCCCCCTCTCGTAATAGACGGGCCCGACGCTGCCCGCTGTTTCTAATCCGCATCATCGACCTGCAGCCCGCCGGCCTGGACATACTTTGCTTGCGCAAGTTTGCGTCAAAGCTTACACTCTGCGACTGAAGTCTTGATCTCGGATCTGTTCTATAGTGATACATGCAATCTACGACGAGTGGTCCCTGTTCAGCAGGAGGAACGCGCCTACCGTGCCCAGCAGCGCATATTTCAGTTGCGGGAAGTCGTTCTGCCAGTGTCAGCTAAATCAGAATCTCGAATAGCTTGGAGCTTCGATCCGCTTGTACGCGGCTGGCGGCTCCAAACTCACCATGGCAATGGTAACGTATCCGAGGTACGGCAGGAATCTGATATCAGCGAGAGCCCTTGACGCCGTCATATGGACCAGAGCTTCGACATTACTCACCCGACCACCTTGCCGACGATCTGGCGCGAATCGAGCCACTGCGGACCCTTGTAGAGGAAGAAGTCGTCCGTAGGGTTGTTGTCACACTTCGTGAGCAGCAGCTGGGTGGTGTTGCTTGCGGTCAGCTACTAGTCGGGGTGCACAGCAGGATAGGAACACTCACGAGGTGTGCGACTCGATGACACGGTGAACGATGGGAGTGCCGAGCGGGTCTCCAGGTCTGAGTGTCAGCTGAGGTCCTGGTAAACTCTTAGTCGCGCGTTGTTCGAGCAAGTGGAGCCACATGGTCAGCCATCAGCAACTTACACCTTGTACACGGTGATGTCTCCGATGTCGTACCGCGCGTCCTGAGGGTTCATTAGGAGGAGAATGTCGCCGCGGTAAAAGGCAGGCTCCATTGAGCCACTGTCGTCAGCTGTGCATCGATAACCGAGTAACTCACGAGAGCACGACGACAATTGGCGACTCCGAGTTGGTGACGAGACACAGCGCCTTCCACATGACGAGACCCGAGGCGACGACATTGAGGAAGTTGAGGAGCTGGAAGAGAACCTGTTGAGTGTTAGGACGAAAACAACCTGGCACAACACGAGGAAGGACGCCACGGAGCTCTGTCATTGTAGGTGATCGCCGAGGTTAGGGGAGTCTACTTACTCCATGGACTCCGAGCTTGCGGATTTTAGCAATCTCCTCTCCGAACATGGTGATGCAAGGAGTCTAGGAGAGTTAGGGTTGAGGTGGGTGGACTTGAGGAGAGGGTTGGGACTGTTGACGGGGCTTGGGATCTTGAGTTGTTGTCATGCGTGGTCGATCTCAAACGTGGCTGGCCGCTCATCCCGTTGGCCCCGGACGGTGACACCACCGAGGGTGCGGGCGACCTCCACCCTCCACCTCGACGTCGACGTGCAGTGGACGCGACAGCCACCACCAGCCAGCCAGCCAATGTGTGCACGTGGCTCCGCTTAGTCAACCCGCCCCGTTAAGTTACCCCTGCGTCTCATTGTGGCCAGGACCCCGACTCAGTCGCAAAGTCGAGTCCAAGTGCGACGGCCATCACACTCCCGAGCCTCCATTCCGCCTCGAGCCTCTGCATGACCACACCTCGTCTCATCTCTAGGCTCCCCTCTCTCTCCAGACCCATCTACCAACTCCGCTTCTACTCCGACAAACCGAACAAGCCCAAAATGCCCCTCAACACCGAAGAGGCCCTCAAGTCGGGCCAGATGACCCCGGGCACCATCGCCAAGCAGCTGTCCCAGCTCGACCTCCCCGCCCCTTCCAACCTCCAGCTGAACGACGGACCGAAGAGCGCCAACAGCGTCCGCTCCAACGACTCGGCCGACCTCAGCGAGCGCCTCTCCCACCTCAACCTCCCCGAGCCTGAGGCGCTCAGCCGCGCCAACGCGCACCGCCGCTCCGAGAGCCAGTCGCAGGACCTCGCCGAGAAGCTGTCCAAGATGCAGCTGCCCCAGCCCGAGCGCATTTACGGCCCCGACGACACCCAGGCTGGCAGCAAGAAGGGCGTCAGCGCCGAGGACTGGGCCAAGGTCAAGCTCGAGGACGAGGTGCCCGAGGCTGTCCGTAGCCCGACCGACCCCCGCTTCCAGCGCAACGTCCAGAGCCCCCCGCCCAAGGCCGCCGCTGCTGCGTCATCCTCCACTCCCGCCGCTGCTTCGGGAACTTCCACGCCGAAGTCTGCTACTGCTGCCAAGGAGCAGAAGATCACGCCGTTCGACGTGCAGGGTGGTGTTGACGCGGACGGAAAGGAGATCGGAATGTCAGTTGTGACCAAGGCTCAGTGTAACTGACGTGCAGTGACTACGACAAGCTCGCCAAGCGCTTCGGTGCCACGCCGATCTCGCAGGAGCTGCTCGAGCGCTTCGAGCGCGTGACTGGCCACAAGCCGCACCCGCTGATGCGCCGTGGCACGTTCTACACGCACCGCGACTTTGACAAGATTCTCGACCTGTACGAGGCGGGCAAGCCGTTCTACCTGTACACTGGCCGCGGACCGTCGTCGGACAGCATGCACATGGGACACCTGATTCCGTTCCTGTTCACGGCGTGGCTGCAGGAGGTGTTCGGATGCGTGTGTGTGATCCAGGTGACGGACGACGAGAAGTACCTGCTCGACCGAGACGCGAAGAAGCAGCAGGCGCTCATCAAGAAGAACCCGCAGGACAAGCGATCGCCCTACTGGATCCTCGACAAGTACTTTGAGATGGGCCAGGCGAACATTGCCGACATTATTGCGTGCGGCTTCGACAAGGAGAAGACGTTCATCTTCTCCGACCTCGACTACATCTCCAAGGCGTTCTACCGCAACGTTGTCCTCATGGCCAAGACGATGACGGTGACGCAGTCCAAGGGCGTCTTTGGCTTCTCCGACTCTGACAACGTCGGCATGCTCCACTTTGCGGCCGTGCAGAGCACGCCGTCCTTTGCCAACTCGTTCCCGCACATCTTCGGCGACCGGACGGACATCCCCTGCCTGATCCCCTGTGCGATCGACCAGGACCCCTACTTCCTCGTCTGCCGTGATGCGGCCGACAGGCTGAAGTACAAGAAGCCTGCGCTTCTGCACGCCAAGTTCCTCCCCGCGCTCCAGGGCGCCGGCACCAAGATGTCTGCGTCCAACCCCAACTCGAACATCACGCTGACCGACGCCCCGAACGTGATCAAGAACAAGATCAGGAAGCACGCCTTCTCGGGCGGTGGCGCGACGCAGGAGCTCCACCAGCAGAACGGCGGAAACCCCGACGTTGACATTGCCTACCTCTACCTGTCGTACTTTGAAGACGACGACGCCAAGATGCAGCACCTCGCCGACGAGTACCGTGCCGGCCGCCTGTCCACGGTCCAGCTCAAGGACGAGTGCATCGCCAAGCTCCAGGAGGTCGTGGCTGGATTCCAGAAGCGCAGGTCTGAGGTCACCCCCGAGCTTGTCAAGTACTACCAGGACGCGACGAGGCAGATCGACCCGACCCCCAAGCCCCGTAAGGCCTAAGGTCGAGAACCGCAGGCTCGAGACTGGCCTAATCTGATCTAGACATAGACGTTCAAAATAACCGTTTCCTGGTCATATTTACATAGTAGAGGTCTTTCATGCGACATATTATCACTCTACGGGGCACGCGACTGAAGGCGCAGCCGAGGGCAATACCGAAGCGGACGCTGATGGCGTCTGAGACGGCGTCGGGTTCGGCGGCGGCGAGCTAGGCCGGTTGCCACACTTGTACCCCCTCACAGCGGCGAGGTACTCATTACTAATAGCAGTGTCGCGGTAATCGATGCGCCACACGCTGAGGCCGTTGACGCGCTGTCCCGCCTCGCAGAACAAGTGGCCCAGCTGCTCAGCACCAACATGACCGGGTTGGTTCTCCTGCAGTGGTTTCTGGACGATGATCTTGTTCGCGTCCCAGCCCGTCAGAGCCGCAATGCGTGCCCGGCCGGGCGCGGCCTCTGTGCCGTTCCCGAAGAGCGCCTCGGCCGTGTCGTACGTCGCGTTGGCGGAGTAGAATTGGACCAGGAGGCGCGAGACGGAGGACTGCTTGCCGTTGAAGAAACGGGCGAATTCCTCGCCGCCCCGGCCCGCGAAGAGGGTTGCAGGTGGGGAATAGGTCAACAGAGGGGTGCGGTGTACTGGCGGGGGGACGAGGGGACGGCGGCCGTGCACGGTGTCGATGTTGAAGGGCTTCGTGGCATTAGAAGGAGAGGCAGAGGGGGCGGCGATAATACCGATCCGGCCGTGCCCGTCGTCCTCCAGCGTGTTGTTGATTTGTGCACGCTGCCGGCCCTTATAGCCCTCGTCATAGCTGCGCTTGGCGGGGAGACCGAGGCGGCTGCGCCGGCTCTGTTGTTCGACCGTATCATCCCCCTCGTTCCCATTCACGTCCTGTCCCTCATCTTCGCCCTCATCGGTCTCATTTTCGGTCACTTGGTCAGATACCTGGGCCGAAGGCGAAGACTGGGGCACGGTCGCGTTGGCAGAAGCAGCCGGCTTCGGAGGCGTTGTCGGCTGGAAGAGGCCCAGCTCCTGGATAAGCACGGCATGGAAGCTGTTCAGCCACCCCGGCGCCCTGAAGCCCTCGACGGCAGCCGTGTCCTCGAAGTTGATGTCGATGCCGTCGAGTCCGTTTGTCTTTGTAAAGTTGGCGAGCGACTTGGCAACGTCAATCGCATTGAGGGGCGGGTTGGCCGAGGCTGGCGTGTCGCCGCGTCCGAAGGCGCCGACTCTGAGTGTTTTACCGGCGCGGTGGAAGCGGGTGAGAAGGGATTGGCGGTCTTGGTACGAGAGAGAGGCGAAGGAGGCGGCGGCCTGGGGTCAGCAGCTAGAGGAAGAGGGGTAACTTACGCCGGACACGCCGTTCGTCTTCCACCCGGACAAAGTCACATGCTGATAGGCAATGTCCCGCGGATTGGGCCAGGCGTCTAGCGATGGGATCGTGTCGTTGATGAACCCGTGGAAGAAGGTTTCCTTGGATGGGTGGACTGGGGAGCGGGCGAGGACGCCGGCTAGCAGTGCTAGCTGAGTGAGGAAGAGGAGGAGCATGCTCAGATGTCTGGGGAGATACCTGGTATGCGAACAAGCTCGCCTTATATGTCTTCGATCACATCACGCCCAGAAAGTGGGGAGGGCTTCGGGGTAGGTTCAGTCCGCACTCATTTTGTCATGTCTTCCCGGTCGTCAGGACGGCAACGGCCATGATGTGCACTACCGTGTTCCTGGATGCCACACGCGGGTGGTACGCCGGGAGATGCCGTGTTTCGCTTCAGCTGTGTCCTGAATCCTCTATGTGTGGTTCCCATATCTCAAACCGAGCAACAAGCACAAACAAGCTCGAGGTCTAGTCGCCATACATGTCTAATCTAGTCTACCTTCTGCACGGGCATGTCCTTCTCCACCGTGACCGATGCCGCGGCGGGCTCGGTCTGCGCCTTCTTCGCCTTTTTCCGGGCCTTCCAAGCCCTGATCTCCTTCACCAGCCCGGCCACCAGACTCACGCCGATGGGCGCAAATAGCGGCGCGTACACCGCAAACTTGTGCTGGTCCGGGAAGTACAGCAGGCCCATCATGGAGGGGTCGAAGAACGCCTCGTTGGCCAGTCCCACAGCATCGCGCGAAAGCAGGGCTGAGGCGAGCACGCCCTCCTTGGCCGCGGCGGGGAGCTGCTCCAGCTTTGCGATCGCGCCCAGGATCTTCTCCCGCACTGCCGCGTGGATCTCCATCTCCTCAATCTTGTCGATGAGGCGCACGATGCCGCCTAGCGTCTTGCGAGCCTCGCGAGCGTTCTCGAGATGCCGCATGCGCAGCGCCGTGTCCAGCTGCCATGGGCTGAACGGCTCGGACACTCCCCGGCTCGCTCGCGTCTTCGTGGCCTTCTTCTCAGGGCACGGGTGCAGCTTCTCAGGCAGCGTAGGGATGGCAAGCAGCTTGTAAAAGTCGGACGTGAACTGGGAGAACGGTTGGTCAAGCGCAGACTCAGTCAGGTGGTACGAGGCGTCTTCTTTCAGACTGCTTGGTGGGTTCAAAATGACGACCGAACCGAACTGAGGAAGGAGGAATGTGTCAGAGGCGTCTGCTGTCAGCTAAGAGCCATGGCCAAGGAGCTGGACTTACTACCTGGCAGGCTCATCGGACGATGCTTCGCCGACGGCACGAAGAGCATGAAGCGGAGGACGGGGTTGTTCGTCGACTTCGAGTCCAGATTCCAGTGCTCCGACACGAAGACCTTGATCTGCTCATCGTCGACGGCCCAGCTTCCATCCTCCTGCTGCGTCGGCTCAAATGTCAAAGGAGCGTGGTAGAGCACCTGGCTCTCAATCGAGAAGTTGAACAGCGGCGCAAGCGGCTCCAGAGTCGGCTTGAAGTGATCCCGAATCGCGGCCTCAACGTCCCACCCCTCGACGTAGGAGCCCTCGCTTGCGTCTTCGTTGAGCACGACAAAGCTCAGCGTCACGTTCGGCTGATAAGCCAGTGCACGATTTGGAACCGTCGGCAGGTTCGCTGGCAGTAGGTTGTGAATGCTGTTGATCGCGGCGATCTTCAGGTGCGTCCCGAGCATGCCATCCTTGGTCTGACGGGACGTCAGCGGGATCACGAGCGTGCCGGCTGGTACGTCGAGATGCCCGTAGTCCGTCTGAATGTACGGCTCCAACGGGAATTCGGGCTTCGTTGACTCGTCCACAGCGATGTGCACACGTAACGGAGCATCGTGTCCTGTCGGTCAGTTAGGAAGAGCAGCAAATGGTAACTCACCCTTCTGGCCAAGAACCAAGTCCCACCTCCTCTCGCCACGGTTCTCCCTCAGCTCCTGGGAAAGAATGCCGTCGACTCCGTCAATCACCTTCTTCGCGATCAGACCGAGCTTGTCGTCGATCGGCACCGTGCCGCCTGGCGGGTTCGGGATGGCCGCCTCGTCGGCAGTGAACCAGACCTTTGTGCGGATAGGGTAGTCCTGATGTCAGCTGAGGATTCGAGCCCCAAAGCTTACCTCCTGTACTTCGACGAGCGGCAGCCGCTCGATCGATGTCGTAGCCCACCAGTACGGCAGGGCGAGAAGGAAGAAGAGGGGAAAGCATGCCACGATGAGGAGGCGCTTCTTCAACGGCGGATTGATCTCGTCGATGACCTCCTGGGCGGTAACCTTCCGCTCAACCTTTATTCTTGTCGTCTCGCTCATGTTATTGCTCGCCGCCGGCGCTCTGGCGGAGTTCTGTTTACAAACAGCGAGCGGACCAGACATCTTGCTCATCGACGCGCCGTCACGATCACGGAGGGGCCTGGGGCCCCTGTTCCACGTCAGAAAGCCACGTGGTGTTATCAGTCGCCGCCGCCCTACTGACGGCCGCCATCGTCGTTCCCTGCCCTAAGTCACCCCATGCACACGAAGGCCGATCCCGGTGTCCTAGTCGGCGACAGTGCGCATTGCTCTTTCTCAACATTCAACTTCATCTCACTCGACACCAAACCCCCACCCGATCACGGCAATACCTCACCACCCGCGCACAGCGATCATACCCGGACGCAGCGTCCCGTCTCTCCTTCCCATCACCCCACCTACACTTTCAAGACGATAGCATCAGAGGCGGTCCAGTGTCATCATGGCGTCCAAGGTCGCGCAGAAGAGGGTGAGTCTTGGGTGGCGGTGATGGACCATCACGCAAGTGACCTTGGCTAACATTGCACAGCTCCAGAAGGTTTGTCTACAGCTTCGCAGCACCCGTTAAGAGCTATCTAACAGTGTTAGGAGTACATGTCCATGCAGAAGAGCCCTCCTCCCTTCATCTGGGCGGTGCCTGAGGAGAAGAACATTCTTGACTGTGAGTAAACAAATCCTGGACATGGAGGACTGCGCTGACAGCACTAGGGCACTTCATCATTGTAAGCTTACTCCGGTCTGCGTGTGAAGCTAATTCATCAGCGCGGCCCTCCCGACTCTCCCTATGCCGGCGGCGAGTACCACGGCTTGATCTGGTTCCCTCCTGACTATCGTGAGTTTTGGTGGTCCTTCATTTTAACTGACGGTCCAGCTTTCAAGCCTCCTGATGTCAAGATGTTCACCCCGAGCGGTCGCTTCGAGCCCGGTGTTAAGATCTGCATGAGCATGACCTCCTAGTAAGCTGCAGAAGCCGTATACCAGCTGACAGCAGTCACCCTAGCACCTGGAACGCGGCGTGGAGTGTTGCGACTATCCTGACGGGTCTGCTTTCCTTCATGCTGAGCGACGAGATCACTGCCGGCGCAGTCAAGACTACGGACGAGCAGAAGCGCCAGCTCGCTGCGCAGTCGCACGGCTTCAACCTGAACAACAGGAAATTCCGCGTAAGCTACGCAACACGGTGCCGGTAGCTAACGATGCAGGACATCTTCCCCAAGTACGCGACGCCCCAGATGACGGATCTGCCGGACATGGGCCAGCCCGGATCATCGGTAAGTTGTTTGTCCTGCCTGACACCAGCGTGACTGGTGCAGGCGGCGCGAGCAGTGTGCCACGAGTGCATTGTGTGCGGCGTGTGTGGGGATCTTGCACCCAGAGACAGCAACTAATTGACTGAGCCCTCAGAAGTGAGCAAGCCGAAACAGGCCGCGTTCTCCCCGACTCCACCCTCTCTTTCCGCCTCCTCTACCCCTACGATACCTGACTCGACACCGGCGACTCCGGCCCTGCCTGGGGCCAACGGCGTCGCTGTTGCCCCTGCCGCTGGACCGGTTCAGCAGCAACGGCAATGGTTCCCTAGTTGGCGATGGCTTGTTGCCATTGTCGTATTAGCCGTGCTGGGCCGCCTGTCGAAGCAGAGCTAAGCCCAGTCGTGTACATATGTTTGTAGCCTGATAGAGATTTCCCGGTCGCTACGCGTGCCATCGATAATGCTCCCTCCCTCTCCTCCTCCATCCCCATTCCCACCCGTCATAACATACCACATTCGTCCCTTGCCGCTTTCTCTGCATTGTGTGATTTATCCATGGAAAAAGGAGTAAATGAAATGAGCTTGTGCATAAGGAAACCGTGGTGCTAATGATGTCTGTCTACTGTGGGCTGGGATATTAAAGGCGCTTGTCGACGACGACGCCGAAGCGGCCGCGCTGGCGCTCAAAGTCCTTGATGCTGCGCATACCAGCTCCCTTGTCCTGCTTCCTTCCCTTGCCGCCGGTGCCGCTTCCGAATCCGGGCGGGTTGTAACCACCATGGAGGATCTGGAGGGCACAGTTGACGACGTCGACCTCGCTGCGGCTTCCCTCAATCGTAGCCGAGGCGTCACGGATACCGCACGCCGTCATGATGCGGTGGATGATGTGGGGCACCTGCAGACCGAATCCGGGGGGACGCGCGCGGATGATGACCTTTGTCGAGCGCCATTGCGCGACGAGGTCCGAACCCTGGCCCCACACCGTACGCTGCTCGAAGCGGTTCACGTAGTCCATCGCGAGCACCGCGTGGCGGAACGCCTTGTCGCGCGCGCGGCCCATGTTCTCGTCACGGCCGCGGCCCATGCCGACCAGGCCGCGCTCGGGCGAGCCGACAATCATCCACACACCGAACGAGCGCCTGCGGGTGTTAGCTCGGAACTGAATGGCAGAGAGCTTCTCCGTCCTCCGCCCTCGATCGCCGTAGTGGCTTCAGGTTCGGACTCGGCCGCCGGACACTGATGCCTCGGAAACTGTGCACTCCGCGCCTCGCTGCGCGCTGGCCTGAGCAAGGCGACAGAGACAGGCATCGGTCATCCCAGACAGGTCTTTTCCAGCGGTCGTCTGACCATTTCGATATCTCCGGGACACACTGGGATGCTGTCCCTAGCTTCCACCTGTCTTTGTCTTCCACCTCCGTCCTTCCCGTGACTCGACACCGAGGATACTCACATCTTTCCCTTCTTCGTCTGGTGCGCCGCCATCATGACCTTGGCGACATACTTGTGCAGCCCCCTAAGTTCGCTCATCGACAATCCAGTAAGCGCGCCAAGGACAGACATCTGCTTCATGGCCTGGTCCTCACCCCTCGTCTCGGGCTTGGGGTGGTTCGGGTCCACGGGCCGGAGGAAGGGGACGGGGAAGTTGACGTGCTTGTGGAGGGGTGCGTCGGGGTCGATCCCCCGCGGGCCCGCCGGAAACGCGGGGCGGCGCGGCATGGATGTTGCTGAGGCGGCCGGATCCCCACTCCGCCCCTGCGGCTTCGTAGATGGCCGCCGGGTCTGCGGCCGCCTCCTCCGCCGTCGCACGCACGGAGGTCGGCTCGTACTCCCCATACGTGTCTTCGTGCGGGTTCAGCACGCTCAGAGCGCGCGACGAGGTGCCGAAGGAGCGGGAAGGGACGGAGGGGAGCTGAGCCTGCAGAGAGCGCAGGCACAGTCGTGTTCGCGCGAGGCTCGCCATGGTCGATTTTACGCCGCTAGAGGTCGAATCGGACGTCGAACGGAGTGGTCGAGCTGGAGATGTAGCGAGCGAGCAAGTTGGTCGGTCGTTTACCCCGATCGTCCCTCCTGGGCTCAAAGTCTCGAAATCTCGCCTGCCGAGGACCACCAGGCTGAGACGGAAGCATTCGCCGACTGAAAAATCCGGCCACCCCTCCCCTCCACACCGCGTGTGGCACACCGTGCCTCCACCAGTGCCTCCACTCTCCGTCTCCAGGCTGGAAACTGGGTTCGGTCGGTCCTGGCTCGTGACTGTTTTCGTCTGTGCCTTCTGCTCACTTCTCATCCGACTGCAGTTGAGCTCACAGTTGCGCCGCTCGCCTCGTCCCAAGCACGCATCTAGGTCATTCTGCATAGTGTAAAGGAAATGTCTACACAACAACTGGGTAATTCGTGGTGTAATTAATATGGTACAACAGGGCGCGTCCAAGTCTAGTCGTCCTCGTCCTCAATGCGCACGCTTCGCACCCACTCCTTGCGTAGCGCGTACAGGCGCTTCACGGCCTCCTTCTCGACCTCGTTCCAGTCCTGCCCAATGACGATGCCTAATAACGTCGCCTGCCAGAATAACTCGAAGTCGCCCTCGGTGTGCGTCGCCGAGTTCTTCGTAAGCGGGCCGATGCGTCGCGTCTTTAACCGGCCGCCGTCCTTGGTCTTGGACGACGTCTCGATCTCAAACTCCTTCGGGTTGCTGTACCGGATGCGCACCTTGGTCATCGAGTTGGGCACGATCTCTAAGTTGTCCAGCTGTAAGTGATTTGACTCGATCGAGTACACTAAGATCACGTCCGGCTGGTCCGAGCACGATATGGTCAGATCGCCCATCTCCGTGAACACCTTGAGCTGCAGAGTTAGCTTTGGCTTGTGTCGTAGCTTCAGCTACTCACCTTCGGTGTCCTTCGCTTGTACTCGTCGACGAGGCTCAGAAGCCGGAGCCAGTACTGGCATTCCTCCTCTCCCCAGTCCTCGGAATCGGCGAGCCGAAGGATCGTGCGGGTGCGCTGCTTCTCGGGACCACTTGAAATGGCAATCTCGTCTCCAGCTTTGTTCACCCGAACAGTCGTGCCCTGGAATCCAAGGGTGAGCGACACAGGGTGGGAGATGTTGTGCACGGTGATCTTGGCCGCCGACTTCTTGTGCAGCGGGACGGCATGTTTCGTCGGTGGAAGACAGCTTGTCGAGATCGGCTTGAGCTGAGCCGTAATTGACGTCGGACTCGGGGGAGCAGTGTCGGTCGTACCCTGCGTGTTGATGGACTCGGGCACATGAGGGGGAGGGTATGATGGTGCCTGCGGCTGGTGGACCTGAGCCTGAGCGTAGTGTGCAGGTCCATCAGCCGTAACCGTGGAAATGGTGGGCAGTGGCGGCGGCGAGGTCGGTGGCGTCAGAGGGAGATGGGGTGGTCGTGTCATAGCGTTGGAATCCACGATCATGGAGTGGCGTCCCAAGTGGTTCGCACTCTGGTCAGCCTTACTCTGGGGTGCGATGTGTGTTCCTGACGCAGAACGGTGCGCCGGCTCGGGCATGCGCCGTCGAGCCAGCTCAGCCTGTTCCAGCAGGTACGGGTCGACTTTGGACTCGGGCGTCTTGGCCCGACGCAGCAGACTTTTCGTAGACTTGAGCGGCTTGTCAACAGATGTCGTTGAAACGTCGAGCGTCCGTGATCGGCGTGCCCGCCATCCGTCTTCGAGCGTTCGCAACATCGGTGGCGTGTCCTGGAAGGCTAGTCTGAGCTGCTTGATCGCTAACGCCGGTGGAGTCGCGCTGATGCGTCTGCTGGACTCCTCGATGAACGTCGTCGAGTGTCGTCGGTTCGCAAGTGGTGCGGTCGGAGTCGAGTCTGGTGTCTCGAGGTACGAGGGCGGGTCGACCGGCTCGACGGGGTCGGTGTACTGGGTGAGGGCGGGTGTCGACGAGGAAGGGTCTTGGAAGCGTACACCCTTTTGAGTGTTCGATCTCCGGATGATGGTGACCTTGACAGAGTCAGAGTCGGGGGTAGGAAAGTCTGAAGTAGTCGGGAGGGCAGGTGTAGAGCTCGGAGGCCTCGGGTTCGACGGGTAGACTGGAAGTGTGGAGGTCGACGAGTTGCGTACGTTGGTTGGGACTGGGAGGATTGCAGACGGGCCACCTGGACCGCCTCCCAGAGCACTGAGACCTGCACCAAGCCCCCCTGCTAAACCTCGTCCCGATTGACGAGGACGCGAAGGACCCGAACCTGAGGCTGCAGTGGAAGAGGTCTGTGCTTTTGCCTGTGCAGTCTTTGGGCGTTGTCGTGTCCTGAACGCCGACGGTATCGATAATGTAACATCCATCTTCATGATTGTTTGACGTCGTCAAGTCGACGCCTGTCCGTCGAGTCGCTCGGGGGAAGGAGGTCGGGTCGCTTGGTCGACGATATGCTGGGCCCAGACACGATAGACTGTATCAGGATCGCAATTGTGTCATGTGGATTACGACGTTGTGTTTACTGAATTGAGCGACGAGAGATGAGCGAGGTCGGGAATCGGGGAGTTTGGCAGACGGGATAGAGCAAGTAGTGTCAAAGAAAGCTCGGTGTTGTTGTGCGGGCCGTGGTAGAAGATGTTGCGATGAGTGCAGAGGGAAGAAGAGATGGACGACGCAGGTGTCTTGGCCGCTGGCCGCTGGCCGCAGCCGGCGTTGACTACGGCGGCGGACGACAGCCGTGTTTAGCCTGGACTGCAACTTTGGACTGCTGCGACACAGGTGGGTGTGTCCGCTTTTGCTTTCGTCTCGGGGCTTTGGCTCTCGGCCTTGGCCTTGGATCCTGGGTAAGGTCTAAGACAGCAATGCCTGGAGGGTTGCATTCATGATTTGGTTTGGTGACCGATCCGGTTCGGCCCTGGTACGAACAGTGTTCCTGCCGAAAGATTAGGCAGACCACCAGGCTGGGGCGGCCAGCGCAGCCTGCTTCTACTGACGAGGAGTGGGAGGTACCAAGTCTAAAAGGCAACTAACCCAGGCTAACGTGCGCGCTAACGACAGGACTGCTTTACAGGAACACGCCTTCCCCTTAACATTCATCCTTAGCATCCTTAACTGCCTCCTTCGATTCTCTGTGGGGCTTCTCTCCGAACAGCTCTGCAGCTCTGCAGCCCTGCAAGCGAGCGCTGCTAACGCGCTGATACGCTGCGGTCTGCTGCCCTGCGCTGCCGAGCGACGAAGAGAAGTGACAGAAGGGCACAGAAGCGCAAAAGGCTGTACGTACCACACGCACATGTGGACTGCAAGTTGCTCTCGGGTACGCAAGAACGCGCCGAAGGTGCGCGCAACGCAAAACAAGAAAGCTAGGGCGCGCCGAACGCGCTGTACATCATGATCACGTACATGATCTCGCCGGTTCGTGATAAGGCCCAACTCTAAACGGCGTCAGGTCCAGGAGCATGTCGCGGGATCCGACACGCGCGGGGGTGTGCAGTTTGTGGGCTGGGAATGCTGGGTACGTAACCAGCACTGGGACCATCATTGCGCGATGTGGGCGATGGTTGCGCGTTCTCGCAGGCCGACAAGGTTCTCGCTCAAACTCTCCACTCGGAGCGAGGAGCAAGAGTGGTCGAATCGATGCTCCAGGAACTTTGTTGCTTGCAAGAGTACGCAATCTCAGGGACCGCACCCAGCATCTGCTCCCGGGCCATCGTGGGTCAGAGAACACCTGAATGGCGCCTGTCTGCGCCCTGAGCGCCTCGAGCACCTGAACCCCTGCTGCAAGAGAGGCCCGTGCGGCCCTGTCCCTGGCCCTGGTCGTTCGATGCGACTTGAAATGAGTGCACCCGTGGGAGACTTCATTGTGATCACGTGACGTCCGCTCGTTTAGGCAGGGAAGGCATGAAATTCACATGGCAACCCGTATAGGCCTGCCAATTTCGTTAACGCCGACAATTATCGCCGACGATGGACGTTGCACTGGGATGCTCAGAGTTCGACAGGCGAGCATCCCAGACTTCTTCTCACTATCCAACAAGCGTATTCCTGCTGAATCCAGCTTAAATCGGTTTACGACAAAGTGAGCACAGAGACCCCCACGGTGACCAGCGCGACTTCTTCGACGGCGACGGCTATGCTTTCGACGGGCTTTCTCGGTTGTTGGAACGGAAAGGAAGAGAAGGAGAGAAGGACTTGGACGGTGATCGAAATTTCGACCTTTGGTGTTGGGATTTGGAGTAGTGCCTACAGGGCTGTACCATAAGACGATGGGATAGGGATGGACCTCGACGACGACGGAAACGACATCGACATGAATTTGGAGACGGGAAGCGACCGAGGAAGCCCTCAAATGTCGAAGCGAACCCAGCTGTCGAAGATTTTGCTCGGTCACCAGCTACACTAGGAGCTCGCAGCTGACAGGACCAGATGAAGCACATCGCCGCTTACCTCCTCCTCCAGAACGGTGGCAACGCCTCCCCCTCTGCCGCCGACGTCAAGTCTCTCCTCGAGACCGTCGGCATTGAGGCCGACGCTGCCCAGCTCGACAAGCTCATCTCCGAGCTTGAGGGCAAGGACGTCAACGAGGTGAGTTTAACCACGCAGAGCGCGGAGCGTGTGTAGCATTCTTCCGCTGTGCATCCATCTGCTTCCCCAGCTGTCTCTTAATATTTCTCGTCACCCAGTGCTAACAACCCTCCAGCTTATCGCCGAGGGCTCCGCCAAGCTCGCTTCCGTCCCCTCGGGCGGTGCCGGTGGTGCCGCCCCCGCTGCTGGCGGTGCCGCTGCCGCCGGCGGCGACGCCCCCGCCGCTGAGGAGAAGAAGGAGGAGGCCAAGGAGGAGTCTGACGACGACATGGGCTTCGGTCTCTTCGACTAAGCGTGTCGCTTCTACACTCTCCATCACCCCCCTTCGCACTACTTCAGGGACATATCATTCGCATTTGAATCAAAAATCGTGCATGACATGCATCTGATACCTCCACTGTAACACTTTACTATTTCCTGCTGCACTGGTGCAATTTCTTGAGACTTGTTGGACTAACAGGAGTCGTCGAGGGTGAGGAGCTGGTAGAACTGCAGATTTGGTAGGGAGGCGAGACGGGGCTTGGCGAATGATTTTCCAGCTCGCGTGGGCGTGCTCAGGAACTCTGCGACAAGGGCTCGACCTTCGCACTCTGGGCGTTTTGCAGCTGCTCAGCTGCTCAGCTTGCTCAGCTTGCTCAGCTACTTTCTTAATCTGACGGCAGAGACACAGGCAAGTAGAAGCCAGGCCACTCAATCCAGTAGGAAATCGAAGAACAGGGGGTTGCAACAACTATTTCTGTGAAGGCGCTTTGACCAAAGACCATGACATAACGGAAAAGAAAAAGGCCAAGACACACCTAATGCTGTGAATTGCTGTTGGGGTTGTTGGGTGCGTGTTGATGTGTGGGATGTGGGGATGTGGTAGTGGGGGATGAAGGGGATGCAAGATACGTGTGCGGCGCGTGTAGGCAGGCGGCCGCTGCTCGCCGCGTCGTCGTTGAGCTGCTTGTTCGGACGGGGCTTGGGGGCTTGGGGGCTTGAGGGCTTGGGATGTCCGAGGCTGCTCGGATTGTGGGACGGGGCGGGCGGTGAGGATTAGAGGGACCAGTCCAGGAGAAGAGGAGGGGAGCGAGTATGTGCTCCCTCAAGCTCGCCGCACACTTAGTGCCCGGGAAGAGGTCTCCTGAAGAGGAGGATGTGCGGCTCGGGCGCGTGCACCTCAAAGTGCTGCCATCCGAGCGACTGCGTGATGCCCAGCCCTCGCCACTCCTGCTCTTCCAGAATGCGCAGCAGACCAGAGTCGTCCTGCGCAAAGTATCTGGGATGTCAGCTGTGTCTCGCGGGCATAGACCCAGCTGCCAGTGTTGTCGACGCAACTGGCCAGGTGAAGTTGTCGCACAACGCTGCCTGCGGAGAGCGAGATTGGGATGTGACGAGCTATGTGCTGCGCGTGTGCGCTGCGCTCTTCTGGGAAACCAGTTTGCGCAAACAAACAGCAGGCACACGAGCTCGTCCCGCCAGAGCGCGGGAGACCTCGGCGTCTCCTCTCGGCGCTCGGCTCATCCCGGCCCCCCTCAGTTCCGCTCAACACTCACTGCTTGGGGATCAGCTTCAGCATCTGCTTGGGCAGAATAACGTGTCGGTACTCGTAGTTGTCGTCCGAGTCTGTAGGTCAGCTAACGTTCGATCGCACCGCAGCTGAGGAAGGAGGTGTCCTTATCTCTCAAAGCTCCCAACTGATCTCGGCGAGGTCGGTGTGGTTTCGAGTCCAGACAACTCTCTCCCGTCACCGTCGAGTGCACGCTTGGCGGAGAGGTCGCGGGAGTTCAGTGTACACATTGGAACTCAGATAACAGTCGCGTGCAGTCTGTCCTTCCCAAACAACTTGCACTGCTCCGAGACAAGAGACACCGGTTCTCCAGCCTCTTCCCCACCGATGAATGACCACTCACATCGGTCCGAGTACACGATTCTGTCTGTCAGCTTCGCGACGAAATCAGTTCAGCTTCATGCAAGACGTACCGGTCGGCCCACTGCTCCAGGGTCGTAGGCTGCTTGGCGGGCATGTTGACTGTGACTTCTTCCTTCTTGACTTCTGTCTGCTCTTCCTTCTAGCTTTATCTTCCTGAGATCGGGTTGTGTTGGCGTGCGAACTGCGTCGGCGCTGTGCTTGGCGTCAACGACGAGAACGGCGAGCTGAGATGTGGGGCGTGCGCGAGCGTCGAGCTGGGTTGGAGTGGTGCGTGTGAGCGAGTAGAGATGGCAGAAGAGTTGACTTTCCTCACCCTCGACGCGTTTGCCGCGCCCACGCTCGTAGGGACTTACGCGCTCGGGCGGATCGCGTTGCGGGAGCATTTTTCCCGCGTGGCGCGGCCGTGCCTCCGGACCCACTGATCTGCGGTCGGCCGGAGTGCTTAGTCATCTCCGCGAACTGGTTGGTAGCCTTTCCGAATTTGAGCGTTGCGCCAAATGACGACCACTGCACAGGTACGCATCTTGTGGCGACAAGCAGCAACCCATGCCGTCATTGACAGCTCCTGTGACTGACTACCTCTGGGCCCCGTGGGATGCTTATTCACTGCTAGGGTACACTTTGATTTTGCATAGATGCGAGAACTGTTATGGACACTGTGAACAACGGGCTATGCTAGTGCTGTGAATGTGGTTTGGTGATGAGAATGCCAGTGGATGGATTGGGAATGTTGTCTGTTGTGTCTAGGGTAGGAATGTGTGAGGATTGTCGTACAACTTGGCATGAATGATGAGATAATGTAACAGTATTGTTGTCGATGTCGAGAGAGCCGGAGCAAAGTGGTTTATCCAGACGAAGAATCTGGAATCGGAATGGTGATGGATGGTGCTGATGAGGTATGGGGTATGAGGAATGAGTAGAATGTTGGGTGGGGATAAGATTTCTATGACGGGATCGCCTGGATGCAAGCTGAGTTGTCGGCGGTCGAGTTCGCCTTCTTCTCAGCGCCAGGTCCAAAGCTCCAGACGATCACGTCACCATCGTCAGAGCCCGAGACGATCATGTCGTCGGACAGCTGCAGACTAGTGACTGCGCCGCGGTGGCCAACCAATGTCTGGACGCAGTTGCCCGCCTCGCGGTCCCAGACCTTGATCGTGCGATCGTGAGAAGCAGAGGCGAGACGGAGTGCGTCAATGTCAACAGCCCACACACCCTCGATGTGGCCGAACAGCGTGCTCTTCTCGCGGCCCGTCTCCACGTCCCAAACCTTGACGGTGCCGTCGAGGGAACCAGTCACGAGCAGAGGTCGCTTGACCTCGGCACGGTCGACCGAGGCCTCCTTGGCCTTGCGGTGGTGGTTGTCCTCCTCGGAATGGACATAAACATGAGGCACGACGTGCTCGTCGCCCGTGGGAGGGAGCGCCATGCGAGAGTGGTAAGGGCTGGTGTTGAGTCCGACTGCGGAGGCTTGGCCAAACGCCGAGCCACCCTCAGTCGCCGAAGGCTCGTGGTCGTCCTCGTCCTCCGGGGACTGGTCGGTCATCAGAATTCGGAGACTCTGAATCTGTCCCTTGTGGCCGGTAAAGGTGCGCAGGCACTGCTGAGTCACCAGGTCCCAGAGCTTGACGGTGCCATCATCGGAGCCGGAGAAGAGCATGGTTCCAGCGTCAATGTCAAACGCCGTGTTATCAGGTCCGGGCGAGGCTTGCAGACGGTTGCGGCTGAGCGCCTGCGTAAACGTGGGCATCGCAGTCGGGTCGAGGTCACCTGGGGACGATTTGCCATCCCAGATCACAACAGAGTTCACCCATTCGTTATGACCCGCTAGCGTGAACTTAGTTCCGTTACGCAGGTTGCGAACAATGATAGTGCTGTCGGCACTGCCAGACGCCAGCAGATAACCGTTGTAGTGCAGCGAAACAACACCATCGCGGTGACCTTCAAGCACCCTCAGGCACTGGCCCTTACGCCAGTTCCACATGCGCACGGTGCCGTCCATGGAGCCCGTGAACAGCAGCATCTGATCGAACTGGAGTGCACGGACGGCGCGCGTGTGACCACGCAGGCAGTTGACCTGCTCGCCAGTGTCGAGGTTCCAAATGCGGACGGTGCGGTCGTAGGAGCCGGTAATGAGGACGGGGTAGTTGGGATCGGTGAGGGCGGTGTGGTACTGGAGACACATGATGCCGTCGGTGTGTCCCTTCAGCGTCTTGGTCTGACACCGACCCTTGCGCCAATTACGCTCGACGATGAGACGCTCGCAGTAAACACTCTTCCAGGGGCGCGTCAAGCGGACGTCACGCGAGAGAATGCCAGCCTTGGCATCAGCAGCGCTCTCGCCCTCCGAGTCGCTGCCTCCCTCCAGCTTGGGCTTCTTCTCGCGGGCCCATGTCGAGCCCTCGGTAGGAGCTGGTCGCTTCAGCGTCGAGTTCGGAGCCGGAGTGGCCAGGTCGCACGAGACAAGAGCCTGCGAAGAAGTCGAAGCACGCTCCGGGCCAAGAACCTCAGAGCGAGTCATGACCTCCTTAACGCCATAGTCGTGGGCGTGGTCGTGGTGGCCGCCGACGCCGTGGGCGACGATAGGGCTGCGGTCCTTGAGCTCGACCTTGAGACGTCGTCGCTCGAGAAGCGGAAGACCCCAGCCGCACTTCTCGCACTTGCGCTCAATGTGCTGGCCACACATTCGTCGCCACAGAAGGTCGTCGTCTGCCAGCGCCTTCCATGTCTTTGAGACCTGAGCGGCACGTCCGAGCGAGATTGCGTCAAGGTACCCGAGAATGCGAAGCGAGACCTCGCGGGGAAGCAGGGAGAAGGGGTCGATGCGGATGATTTGGTTCAATGAGTCGGACAGGTGAGACAGCTGCGAGCTGTGGGGAGGATTAGCACTCATACGAGGGACGGAGCCGAAGCGACTTACAAGCAGCACATGGTGAGGATACCCTCGAGGATGAGTTTTCGCTTGTGGTGGGGCGCAGCAGAGAACGTCGACCACAGGTGAGTGATGTCTGCTCGCTCGGGGACGGGCAGGCTGTCGAGTGACTGGTGTGTCAGCAGAGCTCCAAGACGGACCAATCGAGCTCAAAGTGCACCTACCTTTTGCAGCTTCGCGTTGACATTCTGGTTCGCCATCTGCATGTGCCGAACGCAGAGCTTACGTCCGTCCTTTGTGATGGAAGCGTCTGCCGAGAACGACTTGGCCGCAGACGACTCGGCGGCCCTGTCGGTGGAGGACATTTTTGGCGGGGGTGCGAGGGGGGTGCGGGGGCCGGGAGTGGCGAACGAGATGGGGTGGTTTCGTCAGATGTCAATGGATCGGACGTTGTTCGATGTGGTTATGAGCGATAATAAGAGTGATGACTCGTTGTGAGAATTGTCGAGGTCCGAGCGAAGTTTCAGTGTAATGGTAGGGACGGTATCCGTTTGCGGTCGGGTGTTGCCGATGGTGGTGGGGGCTTCGGTTGATTGGAAGCGAGGGAAGGACTTTGGCGGGAGGCGGGTGTCGGTCGTCAGAACTCGTCGATGGGAGGGAGAAAGAGACGTGTTTGCTGGAACGAGCCGTGAACGTTATTAATGAGTGGGAGAAGGGGGGAGAAAGGGGGAGTGAATGATGATGAAGTGATTCGGTATGAAGTAGAGAATGCTTTGGTGTAGGTCGATGTGGTGTGTTCCGAGTTTGAGCTACGGTGCATGGCACACAGCGTGCGGTGCAACGTGAGGTGCCGGCCAATTTGACTGAGGGGAGATTTGACCACTGTGGGGGATTAGCTCGGACCCAATGCCTTGGGATGGAACCCTATCGCGCGGGCGTCTCGTACACCTTGCGTGATCTGCGCTGCATCGGTGGCGACTACTGGGCCTAAGCTCTCTTCGGCAGTCACTGCGCTGCTGGGCCGCCGTATCGAGGAATTTCAGCCTATGCTCTCTCTCCGCGCGTATCCGCGCCAAACGCCCAGTGCGCCATAGATCGACGAATGTAATTCAAAAATATTGCTCCCGCTAATTCATCCGCCTCAGACGCCGGCAGTTCCTTGGGCTGTTTCATAAGACCCATTTAGGAAACTTCCTAATCCCCTCCTTCGTATGTCGTGCTTATCGGTCGCCCGCTGTGGCAATGGCGCAATGTCGCGCAACCCTCGCAACCGCCGTTCCAGATACTCGTCCTCCGGTGGGCCCGGGTGGCCTCAAACGTTATCGCGAGATCGCGTAGTTCCTGGCCCCCATGGCCCCGCGTGAACAGATCGCGCTCGTGCTTGGGTGGTGTGCGCCATACGCCTGGGACAACCTGAGCACGCCTGGGGATCTGCGAGAGCCCCGCTGCCTCGTCGACAGGCAATGGCAATGTTTCCATTCCTCTGGGTCTCCTGGGCTCCTTTGGGTCCCCCAGACTTCTCTAAACAACAGTGACGCTGTACCTAAACATCCAACGCGGTCGCGCTCTTGGCCAGCGACAGAGTTTGCCTCGTGCCCAGCAGATTTAGTGCATTCACCGCCCGCAGCCAAGCGCCGAGACTAACGACGCCGCTTTCATTCACCGCTGCTTTCTCGTAAACATCGCAAGGAACGTGCTCTGCTCAGCGTTCTGCGCCGCTATAGCTCCGTTCACCCCTCAGTCACCGCTACGCTCTGGGCACTGCGGAGTGCGGAGTCTCCGGCCACTTCGTCCTCCGTCGCCACTCAAGAATAGCAGCATCCTTTCAGTCGCCGGAGCAGAGAGCAGGTGGTGTGCTTGATCCGATTCCGAAGGTCTGGTCAGGCACGCAATCACGTGCGGAACAACGGCACTGTTGGATTTTGCTTCCGCTCTTCTTTCGCACTCGTTCGCACCCAACGAACCCAGGCAAAGACGGGATGCAAACCGAAATTTCTGTCTTTCCTCATTCCACACACTCTCTCTACATCGTCTTACGAAAGGTATTGTTCCACCTCTTGGCTTGCGGGCCACGGGGCGTGCATCTCGTTACGCTCCGGATACGCACTCTGCACTGCCTGCAGCATTGCTTGCGGCGAGATCCAACTGACGCATCCCCTGCCTTCCCTCCCTCCCCCAACCACCTCTCCATTCCCTCTCCCCTCCACCTTCCTCTTTCCGCATTCCTGCACAGCACATCGTGCAGTGCGCGATCTCCTCTGGGGATCACGCAAACGCCAGAAAAAGAACGACCCTATTCTGCTCTGTCCGCTCTTATGCTTCCACGCGAGACAGATTCCTGAACGGGCCGAGATCAATATAGCTCCATAAATTGACCCGCCTTGGGTCCATTTCACTCCTTGGCGGGGTCTCATCTGGTGCTGACATCTTTCCGCCCTTTTGGGTGGGGTTTTACTGACGACATTGTATCGTTTTTGTATCTGCTGAAATACAGCGTGGTTATGTAAGTATGATCCTTAGTTGATGAGCAGACGCAATCTTTGCCATCCGACCGACACTGCACGCTATGGTTGGCGAGTGCAATCGCATGATGAGTACCGGACCCGATTGTTTGGCATGCTGGAAGTGGAACAAGCGCGCAGAGCAGTTCTGGCATGACGACAGCAGTACAGCCGGCGCCATGGCAGATCTCCTCTGTGCTCGCTTCGCTCCCATCACTTGGCCTCACTCAAGACCCCGCCTGCCCCCCCTTTGAGGAAGCTCAGCGGACGGCGTCAACTGAAGTGGCCGACATGGATACAGCCGTGCTCAACCCCCCTGTCGTCTGCCAAGTGGCCAGCTACGCGTTGGGTGTGGGCCGTGGCGTCCGGGTTCAGGACAACTGTGACATTTTTCTAAATCGAATGCTATGCAGATTGATGTGCTTTGAATTGCTGCTTGTGATTATGCGGGGCGTGTGTATTGCATTGCCTTGCTCCTTGATTAGGAAGAGGCATTGACTGTGTTGCTTTCGTTGGTGGTTCGCGAGTGGCGCAGCGCGGCATATCGGTGTAAGGATGGTCCAGCTCGGTATATGCGGGCGGCACAGTCCACATGGTGCGCGATATAATAGAGGAAGTGGCCAGTAGGAGCCGCCACCCGTGGCGATGCAGATCGGGGCGAGATCCGGGTGCGACGCCCAGTGCGAGCGCACCGTCGAATGAGCGCTCGGCGACGTGCAACACGCGGCGCCAAGGACGCCACCGCCTGCGTCTGCTGCTCGTCGCCGACAAAGGCGATGGCGTGCTCAGCACCTGCCCAGATATCGGTATTGATAGCTAGCCATGCACGCGCATGTCCGATGTGCGCGTGTCCGATAGAGTGGGCGCGTGATAGCGCAACACCGGGCATCTCGCCGAATCGATTCGGACGTCCACAGCGTGGTGCGGTAGGCTGTCTCAAACCGGCGAGCCTTCACGCCATAGCACGCTCGTCGGCTCAGACCGTCGAGGACGATAAGAGAGACAAAAACGTCACTTCTTGATTATTCCTGCTTTCAGTAGCGCTTCGCGCCCCGCTGCGCCAATGTGCCGGAATCGCGCGGGGCCGAGGGGTGTGCCGCCGTACCATCTTGTGACTGCTACGGCGCCCCGCGCATCTGTACTCTCGAGCAGGGAGAGGAGCACGCGACCTGCACCAGACTCGCCGTCGTCGTCGTGACCTGAGGTCAGCTTTCCGAAGTCTGCGTAGCTGGATATCGAGGCCTTCTTTTACCTCATTCCACTCTGTCAACGTTGTAGGGAGGGCGAATCGTCTGCAAATGACACTCACCGCTATCGTCTTCGAGTCGCCAGGCAAGCATGGCCGGATGACTCGCCCTCTTGTTCCGCTTGTCGGCGAGCAGCTCCTCGACGAACCCGCGCACCTCCTCCAACGTCTTGACCTTGGCGGCATGTCCGACGAATCGAGACTTGCGGTCCGAGATCTCATCGGAGTCAAAGACCTGTGGTGGTGACGAGGATGATACTGCGGCCAAGCGCGCCGGGAGAGTCGAAGATGCCGCGCGTTTCAGGAGCCTGGCACTGGTCGTGAATTGTCGCGAGAGCATTGAAGGGTGAAATGAACGAAGATGAGGAAGGAGGATTTAGTTGCCGAACATGACGTCGAGTTGAGTTGCCGCGATCGATCGAAAGATCAGGTTCCGCGCCTGATTTCGCGGTTGGCAGTCCTGTGGAATTGGCGAAAGATGCAATACGCAGCATGCTGGTCACTTGTCTTCATAACCCGATAGATTATGGAGGAGACGATTATGCAGCAGTTGGAAATCCAGGTAGCGACTACAGTACTGCAACGGTGTAACACAGTCGGTTGTCAGTGGGCAGCTGCGGTCCTTCGATCGCAGTGTCGAAAGACCTCGTGACTTGTGTGCGCCCCGCGGATCGCCTTCCTTTCGCGTTTTTGTCTCCGGACTTCAGGCCACACTTCGTCATTCTTCCTCTTTCCTCATCGCCACTCTCTCTCGCTCCTGTTTTGAAAGGTCGTGCTGCTCTCCTGCCTCGCCACTCCTTCAAATCGACGGTCGTCTGTGGGTTAAACGAACGCCGTTCCTCGACTTCGGCCCAGATGTCGGCAATGCACCGTCCCATCTGCGGGTCAAAAATGCTGTAAACGGGCTCCTTATTTAGTGTCCGTTCAGTTGTCTGCCTCCGCTCTTCGATCTGTTCCTCTTCTCTCAGCTTCGTCGGCTGTAGCAACGAATTTCACGCGTGGGTTTATACCTCCATCTCTCTTCTGGCATCAGTGACGCACCTCGTTTCACCGGGAGTGCCTCCAATAGCAGCCTGGGCATGTCCCGCAAGGCTGCAAAGGAGTGTGGCCTTCTGTCTGTGATAACATGGATGATGGGGGTATTCGCCCTTACTGACATAGGCTTGACTTCGGATAAACATTTGCCTCGTCATGCCCATCAGCATCGCCAGTCGGTATCAACAGATTGTAGTGCTAGACTAAGCGCGAGCTCTCCCTCAAGAACGGCTTCATCGCCGTCGCTTTGCGATACCATCAGCGCTGGCTGAAGATCGTGTGTCATTCTATCTCCCCAAGTGCCACCTCCATGGATACCACCATCGCAACAGCCGAAGCCAAGCACCTTGCTGAGCTCATACCAATCTCCCGACTTGGCAGAACCTAATGCTCAAAACAAGAGCCTGCTCCGCATTAAGCATACTCCCCGCAACCATATCCGCCGCGAAGTTCGAACGACAAGCGCAAGTGGCACCGACAACGCTGAGGAGAGCAGCCATTCACGTGACTGGTTCGAAACGCACACCAGTCTTAAGTCTTCCTCCAGCCTCCTGTCTGCCCCGTGCGTTTGCGCTGTGCTCCTGCACACTATCGTCGTGGGACGGGTCGTACATGAGCACCAGTACGTGATGATGACGCATCGTGAGCGTCACAGGGCAAGCTGTTGGACCAATGTGAAGATGATCTCGATCATGAGCAATAGCGGTGCAGCGTGCACCGGTCTGACGGACGCTCCGCCCGCTCTCTCGCCCGTCACAGACCGTGGAGTTTCGGCCACCACCACCCAGGCGACGTTGAGGTCAGACGGCGACGCCGCAACGATGGGCAGGCAGACGCAGCAGCGGACCCACTCGTACGGGGCATGAGGGAGGCAACTCGGGCCGAAACCTTGCCATTAAGCCTGTCTGATGCCTGACATCTGGCCCCGGTGTGCCACTCGCCGTCACTCGCCGTCACTTCTGACCTACTCGAACAGGCAGGTACTCCCTCAGCAATGCCTGAAACAGAGCTGGGTATCCACGTACAAGTGCGGGAGAACTACTCATGGCCGCGAGGTCAAGTCGAGCGACGAGCGGATTAGAGTTGCACATAGGTGTATTAAAGTTGGGCACGCTTCGCATATCGCATGTTGCTGCAGCGACTACGTACGCGGGACCAAGGAGCACCCGTTCCTTTGCCCCTCTCAGACGTACCTGCAAGCAGTCGCAAGCTGTCACCCATCCCCACCTCCATCATTGGGCCGCAGCAAGGATCTGCCCGGACCGTCATCCCGCTCCGCTGGGGAGTGTCGGCTTCGCAGCCGGCGTCTCACGCTCTCCAAACTTCGGTGCATGGAGGAAACTCTTTGTTTGTGTCCAACCGCCGGCTCCGAATACCACGAGACACTAGCCGCGGTACGCCGCCACCACGCGCCAGTGGAACCGGTGGGAGTGGGAGCGGTGGCATGTCTAAGAATGGAACAAGAGCGCAACACTGGAACAGGATACTGAGACCCAGTATGCAGCGCGGCGGCGGCGGATACGGGGCAGGGGGCGCGGGGCGTGACGTGTGCCGTGCGTGCGACTCGGGTGCGTGCAGGCCGTGTATTACACTTGAGTGAGGTGTGTGACGGGAGAGTGCGGCCCGGAGAACGGCAAATCACGTGATAGACAGGGTCCTTCCTCTGCGGCGTACAGGTGCAGTGTGAACATCCTGTGTGTGTGCTATCCTTGGCACGCTGCATGCACTGGGAGGTGGAGGAGAAGTGAATGCGTACGCCCACCACACAGGCAACTGCAGCCCGACCAACCGCAGGGGGAGGCGGCGGTGGGCGCTGTCGCCTCATTGTACCTACGTACGCGCTCTATTCCCGCACGCGTCTGCCGTGTGCCGTGAAATTCAGTCATGATAAGACACACCCGGCATGAGTCTTTTGAGCATGCATTGCATTCCAGGATGGATCGGATTCCGAAGCGCGCGGGCTGGGTTGTTGGTGTCGCGTTTCGTGTGCAGCGCCACGGGGGCCATGTTTGGGTGCGTCCGAGTTGGCTGAAATGCAACTGCGAGCGTCTGAGAACGAGGACAAGAGCGACTTGGCCTCTTGGCAGACGAGGATGGGTGTTGAGGAAGAGCGAGCCAGGGTTTGGGCCCAGGGCGGCAAGGGCGAGAGGAGCAACGGCGTCCTGACGGGAGGTTAATGGTTGAATAGCGGACACTCCAAGGCAGCGGACCCTTTTTCCATTGCAGTGCCAGGCATGCCTGCATGCCTGCAGCCAACACCCCAGCACCCCGTACCCCATCCAGGATGCACCTCAGGCGTACCTCGAAACCCAGTGCCCAGTGCCCAGCCGATAGAGTGGGAGAGGGATTAGGGAGGAGACGGGCTACGAGCCAGAAACGAGCGACCAGCGAAAGAGGACCCAGCATCAATCCGACATCCGACAAGAGCTATTGCTCGTCACTGTCACTCAGTGCCGACCATCCCGCAGGATATCGAGGCCTTCTTTTACCTCATTCCACTCTGTCAACGTTGTAGGGAGGGCGAATCGTCTGCAAATGACACTCACCGCTATCGTCTTCGAGTCGCCAGGCAAGCATGGCCGGATGACTCGCCCTCTTGTTCCGCTTGTCGGCGAGCAGCTCCTCGACGAACCCGCGCACCTCCTCCAACGTCTTGACCTTGGCGGCATGTCCGACGAATCGAGACTTGCGGTCCGAGATCTCATCGGAGTCAAAGACCTGTGGTGGTGACGAGGATGATACTGCGGCCAAGCGCGCCGGGAGAGTCGAAGATGCCGCGCGTTTCAGGAGCCTGGCACTGGTCGTGAATTGTCGCGAGAGCATTGAAGGGTGAAATGAACGAAGATGAGGAAGGAGGATTTAGTTGCCGCGTGAACGTTATTAATGAGTGGGAGAAGGGGGGAGAAAGGGGGAGTGAATGATGATGAAGTGATTCGGTATGAAGTAGAGAATGCTTTGGTGTAGGTCGATGTGGTGTGTTCCGAGTTTGAGCTACGGTGCATGCCTTCTCCCCCCTCCCCCTCCACATCGACTCTTTACGCCCCGCCCGCACAGTCCTTTGCATCCGCCGACACCTCTCCTCTTCCAACCCCCACGACACAAGACGACCCCGCGACAAGGCATCACTGCCAGCACGGCCTTGCAATCCTATATCGCAAAGCGCCGTTTGCACCGTTCAACCGTCCAACCGTCGCACCGTCACCCGTTACCAGTTACGATCCTCGAGGTCCCCAGGAGCCCTACGGTCACAAAATCCCGTACGCCTGCTCGACCGACTGAAAACGGCTTTAGGTCCCAGCTGGCCCCTCCCGAGCCAGCGTTGTGGAATTGGTATTAGCACTGGTCTTGTGCTCTGGAGCTTTGGTCTCAAGCACCAAGCCGCACGCCGCAAGCGCCGCTCTTGAGCTCAGACACAGGAGCTCGGCCTGTCTGTCTGTCCATTCGATTCCATTGGTCTTTTCCGTCTTGCGCTGCCCCGGCTGTCCCCAGCTTCCAGCTGCTGAACGCACCCTCGACTCACAGGACCCAACTCGTCCCCTTACCTCGACGCCAACACGCCAGCAAAGCCAGCAAGCGACGCCAGCTAAACTACACCGACTAGCCTAGCCCAGCGCTACGTACTGCTCGCTCGACCTGGCTGTGGGTTACGACCCACAGCATGTCGTCCCCATCCATGACTGACGAAGAGTTCGAGAGGGAAGTGCGCACGCTCAAGTGAGTATCGCCCGATCTCCTGCAAACCACCCACACCCCACACATTGGCTTCTTTCCATCCTCCGTTCCTCACGCCCCCTTCCTCACGCCCCCTGGGCCTTCAGTCCTCATCTCGTCTCTCGTCTCTCATTGCCCCTCCCTCTCACTCACCCTCACACCTCACCGTCCTTACGCTTCCTCCTCCCATCAACCGACCAACCAACTCACCGTCCCTCGCTATCGCGCACCTTTCCTTTTCTGACCAGCCTACTCCCCTCCTTCATCTTCATGCCACGCACGAGCTCCGCCCAATTCAAGTCTTAAATGCTAACGCCGCCCTACAGAGACCTGAGACGACGGTCCGTATCCTCTGCTGGACCTGGTGAACTTCCCGTCGACCCCGATCTTCCTCCACGAGATCAAGGCGAGGTGGGCAACGCTGCCCCGCTCGGGCCGCAGCCGTTCTCGTCCAACGACGATGTGACGTTAACGGTGCCCGACGCCGGCGGCGACGCGAATGGCCTTTTCTGGGTTCCAGCGCATCTCCATCCGGAACTGGCGCCCGGAGAGTTCCATGCCTTCTTGAAGTCGCACACCCATGCGAATCCAACCGCCATGGCTGCGGGCGAGTCTGGCGAGGCGTCGCTCGCACGGAGTCCGTCGTGGCTTGCTCGGAGCCGGACTCTCTCGAGCGGCGTCAAGAGGAATAAGTCCATGCTTTCCCGCCAGTACACGCCCCGCCACGGTGACAAGGTCGAGGAGGAAGTTCCTGTCGTCACCCGTCGCGGGTCTAACCCGTTCGGCGGGGAGCAGGGCCCGACCCTCCAAGATCTCCAGAAGTTGGACGAGATGGTGGGCGAAGTCGAGGACGACCCCGAACAGATGCGTCAGATCCTTCGACGTGGCCTTAGCATGCGCCTCCAACCAGGCTGTACGTGTTTCTCCTTCTGGGCCTTCCCGGCCCACACGAGCGAATGACACTGACTCTTCTGCAGTACCCGAGGAAACGGTTCAGTCTGGCCAGCCTGGCTATGGCGAATCTTCGACTGGAACTTCTTCTTCACCGCGGTCGAGCTCTATCGTCCGACGATCGGCGCGGACGAGGATTCGCAAAGGTAGCAGCATCGACGGTTCGAAGCGCTACTCTGTCCGCAAGAACCGTCCTAGCACCGCCGGATCCGACTCGGTGTTCAGCGATGAGGCAGACGGTAGGGTTAGCGAGGAGCGTCGCAGCGACGAGACAACGCAGGAGAGCGGAAGCTCTGAGACGCCAGAAGTGTTCCACGAGGCGAGGGATGAGTATCGCTACCAGCCTAAGCAGCAACAGCAGGCTTATCACTCGCCGCCGCAGCCTCAGCACCCGCCGCCGCCCCCTCCGCGGGAAGAAGACGAGGATCAGCTGCGACGACCGCACCAGCAGCCGCCGACCGTTTCTGTGTCAGGCATCGACTTCAGCCAGGCTTCTGACGACGAAGCGATGATCTTTGACGCCTACACCCACGACCCTCACGATCGCACGTCCTCCTCCACCTATGGTTCAATGTCTTCCGCCTACGACGAGCAGCCTAGCCGCTCGCCAAGCCCTGAGCCCCCACGAGTCGAAACGACCCCTCGTCACACCCCGATTCTTACCCCTATCGTTGCTCCCAAAGCCAGTGATGCGCAATGGTACGAGGACGACGAGCGCACTCCTACCCAGGAGTCCTCGATGAGCGCTGCCATGAATGCGATGAGGATTAACGTTCCCCCATCCAGGTCATCAGATAATATCTATCAGCAAAGCGCTTCCGAGAAGCTGCAGCAACAGCAGCAGCACCAACAGCAGTACCAGCAAGCTGCGCCCCCGACCGGCCGCGTTCCGTCACCGCCCAGGCCTGCCGTGCCCGAGAAGCATGATCTCCCGTCTGGAGCAGCGCCTCCCCGATCCCAGACGGCCCCGCCCGGCATGTCGATGCAGCAGCGAACAGGAGCGATCCCCTCACCCATCGCCCCCATCGCACACGTGGAGCGTCCTCCTCTCACTCGCACCGAGTCCAACTCGTCGGCGGTGTCTGTCGGCTCGACCTCGACGCCTCCGTCTGTGAAGAAGGAGAAGAAGGGTTTGTTCGGCAAGAAGTCGAAGCACCACGACAAGCCGGAGAAGCCGAAGAAGGAGAAGGACCGATTCCTTGGCTCGCTGTTTGGCAGCAAGAAGAAGCACGAGGAGGCGACTTCCGTGTCCAACTTTTCGACTGCTGGACCTGCGGCCGCCGCTGCGCTGCTCGGTACCTCCAAGTCGGCCAAGGCGTTCCACCATCAGGGTTCTGGAACGTCGTCTCCGACGTCGCCTGGGTTCTCGAACTTTGCGCGTTACCCGATCCACGTTGAGCGTGCTGTGTACCGCCTGTCGCACATCAAGCTCGCAAACGCCCGACGACCGCTTATCGAGCAGGTGCTCATCTCCAACCTCATGTTCTGGTACCTCGGCGTCATTGGACGCACGACCCCGGCGGAGGAGAAGAAGCCCGGCACGACGAACGGTCTTGACCGCACCCGCGATCAGAATGCCAATCAGCCGCAGCTGAAGGGCACGCCGAACAAGCCTGCCGACTCTGGCTCGGCCGGTGTCAAGCAGCCTGACCCTCCCCAGCAGCTGCAGCAGCACCGACGAGCAGGTCTGTCGAAGCCCGAGCGAAGCAGGACCAACAATGCTGAGGCAGCATATCGCGCTCCTCAGTACGGGATGCAGTCTCAAATGGAGGAGATGCATCGGTCCCCGGCCAAGCAGCCGGTGATGCAGCAACAGCAACAGCAGCCTCAGCAACACCATCATCAGCCTACCCAGCATTTGTCTCATCATTCTCAACCCCAGCAGCAGCAGCAACAGCAGCAGCAACCCCAGCAGCAAGCACGCCCGCAACCTCCTCCCCAGCAACAGCAGCAGCATCTTCCCCACCATCATCAACAGCAGCAACAACAGCAGCAGCAGCTTCATCAGCAACAGCAATATCACCAACCGCAGGCTGCTTCCCCCCAGGCCCAGCCCCAGCCTCGCACGTCGTCGATGCCCGGTCGTTCGCGTTCGCCGCCCACGAGCCAGCCGCAGCAGCGTCCCGAGTACCCTCCTGGAGTTGCGCCCCCTCGTGTGCCCCAGGGCGGCCAGTACAGCCACTCGCCGAACCACTCGCAGTCGTCGCAGCACGGCCAGCACATGGGTCAGCCCGGTCGTGCGCCGGTGCAGCCAGACGGTCGTCAGCGTGTGCCCTCGGGCGGTGGCGGTTCGCAGCCGCCCCAGCAACACCCGGGCGCGCGTAACAGCACGATCGGACCTCGCCCTGGGCAGGGCTACCCGCAGCCGAACGGACGAGCATCGGACAACCCGAACCGGCCGATCTACCCGAACCAGCACGCCGGAACGAAGCCGGGCCAGATCTTCCAGTACCCTGGCATGGTCGCGGCCCAGCAGCAGTACCAGCAGCAGCAGCGGCCTCCGGGAGCGGGACAGGCGTATCCTCAGCAGGGCGGCGGGCCGATGTACCACCAGCAGCAGCGACCGATGCAGCACCAGGGACCGCCGCAGGGATGGGAGAACCAGCGTCTGCCTGGTCATCAGCCGCAGCCCGGCCGGTCGGCCGCGAGCCCGCCGCCAATGGCGCAGACGCCGCCTCGCGGCTCGTCAAGCAACCGGCAACCGGCGGACCCGTACGGCCGCCCGTACCGCGAGGGGCAGACTTCGCCGACGCACCAGACGTTCTACTCGGCACAGCGCCCGCCCACGATGCAGCAGGGGCAGCCCTACCCGTACGCAAACGGGCAGCCGCGACCCCAAGCAGTGGGCTCTGGTCAATATCCTCATCATCGCTGATCAGCATTAGGGCTATCTCAGGAGCGCCGTGCACAAGCTGAGGGCCAGTCTGCACTGGTCTGCACCCCATGATGACCACCAGCACTAGCACTGCACAATCGTCCCGTCGTTTGAAGCACCAGGCGGCTCGACATGAAGAACACTACTTTTCTACTCTCCTCCACCTCTTCCTCCTCCAGGTTACCCCTCCGTCCACACTCCAACTTCGTTCCTTTGCTCCCTCCATCCTCATCCCAACTACAACCCATACGACATCCCCGGCACATCCCCGACATTATCGTGACAAAGAGGCCAAACACTGTATTGCACGTTTTGATATGCATCTGTTCATATAGCGGGCGTTGGGCGAGCACGAGTACGAGCGAAGTGAGTGACGGGTGGCGAGTGGTGGATCAGCGAGCCGTGAGCCTTTGAACAGGACCAAGATTGCCGGCACTCCATCCACTCATCAGCCTCAGTAGTTTACAGTATGCCAAGCTGCTCGAGTCCAGATGAGTATGCATTGCCACCTAACTGCCAGGTTTACAATGCTCCGAGTCCACGCTCGAGTTTCCCCACCATTCAGGCCCGTTCCACGTCCAGAACAGGCCAAACAGGAGATATATCGTCAGACTCGTAATGGCCGTACCGGCATCAAGCGCGGAGGAGACAACGTATACAAAGTCCTTGTGGAGTGTGGGCCAGCGCTTTGCGACGTAGCTGTTGGCGAAGACGGCGACGGCGGCGCCGGAGAGAATGATGTTGGTCGGGCTGGGGGTGAGCAGGTGCGCGAGCGGAGAGCGGAGCGCGGAGCGAGCGAGCCGAGGTCGTGGCCGACGACAAGGTGGAGAGAAGGAGAGACTTACTATTGCGGAATGAGCGTGGCGCCCGAACAAATGATAGGAAACACGACCTGTCCATTAGCTCTACCTTCCCCTCTTCTACCTCTAACCCCAGATGAGGCTCACCTTGTGCAACTTATACCCCGGCCACCGCCTATGCGCCCACCACAACACCACAGGCACGAGCGCACCGAGCGGAAAACCGAGATACAGCACGCGATACTTGCCCGCGAAGAAACGCGCGGGGCCGACTGCGCCCCAGATGATGCTCGCGCTGTAGAAGATTTGCGGCCGGCGGCCCGTCCATTGCCCCGTTGGGTCTACCTCTGTGCCGTCGAGGTAGGAACGTTTGGAGCTCAGGACGGATTGGAGGGTTACGTCTGGCCTGTCAGCTAGGTTCGACCATGCAGCTGTGCTTCTGCTCGCCCGACTGCTCTGGCAGCTCGCACGCTCGTCCACGGCTCGTCCGCTCACGATACGTACAGTTTGTCAACGCGCCCAAAACCGTGCCCAGGATCTGCGCCGCGAACATCTCCCTCGGCGGGATGGACGTGTACCATCCCAGCTTGAGGTCCGAGACGAGCTGGAGCGACTGGAACATGGCCATGTCTTTGGTGAGCTACCGGAACGCCTCGCAGCTCTCACATCCGAAACACTTGAAGGTCACGCTGGGCGTCAGTTACGGCCAACAGCAGGTACAACTCACTTTCCGATCGGCTTGCCGGGCATGAGGAAACCGGCGACGCTGCGGGTTAGTGGTGTTGAGAGGGCGGCTCACAATTCCGTGATCACGTTCTGGGGTCAGCTAGACCGACACGTCCTAGCTTACCAGGCCGATGGTCGTGTTGCTCACGGCGGCGACGATGCCGATTCTGCTGTTAGGTTCAAGGTAGTCGATTATCACACCTACGGGATGAGGAAGACCTGGGTGTCAGTTCGATGAGCGTTAGCAAAACTCACAGCAGCAATGATCAGCGCCAGCAGCAGCGCCCAAACCGGCGTCTGCAGCAGCGGCGTCGTCCACACCATCAAGATGGCCGCGACGAGATTCACGCCCAGCATGGTGAAGTACCACCAATGCGGCACCTCGCGATACGCCTTCATGAGTTTGCTGCCTGTCAGCTCTGGCGTCAAACCCTCTCGAGCTCACTTATGCGTATCCGTCAAAGGCGCCTTGTCGAGGAGCGCCTCCTTGATCTCCTTCCTGTGCCACATCCAGACATGCACGACGACACTGCTCACGGCGGCAAAGGCGAGCCCGTACGTGATGGCAAAGTACGGCGTGAGGAGGATGGGCTGCGCCGTCTCCCACTTGGCGTCGTCGAGGGAGAGGTCCGGGCTCAAAACCGCCGGCACGTCAAACTTGGCGTAGGCCGTGTTGAAGAGGCCCGCTGACGTTGGAGAGGGGAAGTCGCGCGCGTTCCAGAAGTTGAACACGAGGAGGATAGGGACGATCTGGTGTCAGTTTTCGCCTTCGGGCGAGCCAACTCACGATCCACATCATCCCGATCAGGCCGCCGAAGTAGTTCCCCAGCGCCCAGTAGGGCGTGAACAGCGGCCCGACGGCACCGACACTCGCCCAGTCGAAGGAGAAGTCCATCATGCCCAGGCCGGTGTAGGCGCTTCCGAGCCAGCGCATGACCCAGCTCTGGTTGTTCACCAGGCAGAGCACAGACACAGATGTGAGCGTCGAGAACAGCAGGGACGGGAGGAACTGTTGTTAGCTTGGATGCCTATCTTGGGAAGCTTACCTGGTAGATGAACGTGGCGATGAAGATCAGCACAAACACCTGCAGACGCTTCGAGGTTAGGCGGCGCGCGGCAGACGAGCTAGCCGACGCAGTCTCGTCGAACAGCGTTGTGAAGAGCTGCACGATGACGAGTGTCGACGGCCAGTACATCGCCGGCCGGGCGACGAGGACATTGTACAGAATGCCTGGGTTTAGCTCTGGACACATTGATAGCTCACCTGCAAGACCGAATCCGATGCACTGCGTCGTGAGCAGGAGGACGATGGACGGCAGCGGGCCGAGCGGCTTCTTGAAGTACAGGTCGAGGATGGCGAGGATGTCGGCTGCGTACGCCGCGCTGGCACCCGAACTGCTGATGACGCTGCTGTCAGCTTGCCCATGTCGAATCAGCTTACCTGACGAGAATCGCCTCCTTTATGCTGAACGGCCCCGGGTTGATCGTGATACCCAGTATCCGCCTTCCGCGTGGGAAGAAGCGCTCGTTCGCGAAGAAGTGGCCCAGTGGGTATGTGGCGAGAATGACAAAGTAGGTCGAGAAGCTGGGTGCGTTCGACTTGAAGTAGAACACCATGGACGCCGCTGCGCCGATCACACAGAAGAAGCATCCCAGCACGATCGCCCGGAACGTCAGCGTCGGTAGCGTCGGGTCGTCAGTCGTCGGTACCGCCTGCTGTTAGCTACGGCGAGTCGGCTCCTAGCTCACGCTATCAATGAGCTGCTCGACTTTGCTGCCCTTGCCGACGACTTCATCTCGCCGGACCTCGCCGTCAGACGCAAGAAGGGCGATGTTCTCGTCGTTCTCGTCCGAGTCTACCGACGTGCGCTGGCGGGGCTTGTGGCGTTGCTCGAACTCGTCGAGGTCCTCCACGTCTGTGAGCTCGTACGCCTCAGCTTCGCGTTCGTCATGGCGGGACATGTCCGGGTGTTCTGGGCATGGGACAATGAGCGAGTAATCAGATATATAGCTCGTTCCTTTGACCACGGTGAAACGCAGCAAGCATGAAACGCGGCGGGTACATACCACCGCAGCGGTGCGCGAGGCGGTACGGTGGTGGCCCTCCACCGCGCGCTGGCGGACGTTCCCGGTGGAGGTGGGTCGCGTGGCTTATCACACCCTGCTGATGAGTACACGTGTAAACACACCCGGACGCGCGTTCGTTCGCTCACTGAACGCATCATCGTCACTGCCTGTCCCAGGCATCAGTACGACGTCCTTCGACCGCATCCTCTCCAGACACCCGATCGCTGTTGCCGAACGACTACACCGGCAACCCAGAACAGCGAGGTTTCATCGAGCGTCGACCCCCTACCAACCCCCGCAACACCGCACAGCGTAGACAAGATGGTGAGCTCAGCTGACCGACCATGACTAACTGTCCCAGGCTAGGAGATACGACAGTATGTTGTTGCAGCTTGCTGCTCCCACTCAATTGCTGACACGAAGGCCGCACAACAATCTTCTCCCCTGAGGGTAAGCTTTTCACTTCGCACATGAGCTGACATTGCAGGACGACTGTTCCAGGGCAAGTATTCCGCGAAGTGTATGTGTATGACGTTGGACTGACGAATGTAGTCGAGTACGCCATGGAGGCCATCTCGCACGCTGGAACCGTTCTCGCCGTGCTGTCGAAAGAGGGCATTGCCATCGCTGCTGAGAAGGTTTGCTTCGCTAATGGCACGCGTAGCTGACAAGCAGAAAGTGACCGGCAAGCTGCTCGACCTGTCGTTGAACACGGTTGGCGGAGAAGGCACCGAGGCATGGATGGGTGGTGGTGGTGAGAAGATCTTCCTTCTTAACAAGTGAGCAGTTCACAGAAGTATTGGAACTGACGTCCAGCAATATCATCACGGGAGTCGCCGGTATCACGTCTGACGCCAACTCGCTCGTCAACTTTGCCCGTAACAGTGCCCAGCGCCACCTCTATACGTACGACGAGGACATCCCCGTCGAGATGCTCGTCCAGCGTCTCTGTGACATGAAGCAGGGTTATACCCAGTATGGAGGTGAGTCATAGCTGGCGCAACTCCACAGCCAAGCTGACAGTCCAGGTCTCCGTCCGTTCGGTGTGTCGCTCCTCTACATCGGCTGGGACCCTCTGCACGGCTTCCAGCTCTACAAGTCAGATCCGTCTGGCAACTACTCGGGATGGAAGGCGACCTGCATTGGAGCCAATCACTCGAGCGCCGCCTCGCTCCTGAAGCAGGACTACAAGGATGACATTTCGCTGGAGGACGCCAAGAGCCTGTGTCTCAAGACGATGAGCAAGACCATGGACTCGAGCAAGCTGAGCAGCGAGAGGCTCGAGTTTGCGACTATGACCCTCAACAATGACACAAAGCAGCCGCTCGCCAAGATCTTCCGTCCGGCAGAGCTGGATGAGCTCCTGCAGAAGCTCGAGCTCGGCGGCACGAAGGACGAGCAGGTTGGTGTCGGAGAGGGAACGGGCGGTGGCGACGGTGGTAACATTGCTATGAGCACGTAAGAGAAGTAGACAGTTACAGTGTGATGTATCGCATACGGCAGTAAGCATTCGTTGTTGCATTACCCCTCGGCGCGACGAAGGGACACTCCGCAATGACGACAGACACCGTACAGACAGTGAGCGGACTTTTGCTTCCGTCCACTCCTCACCACCACCTTGCGACTGGAGCCCATCACGACCAGGTCGGATTTGCTTCCGCGTCACTATTGGCCGAGTTGCAAGTCCCACTCACACACGCCGAGTGTGGTGCATAACGGCCCCATGTTGGTCGCCTTGCGTCTCCAAACTCCTCCCTTCTCACCGCGCCTCGTCCTCCATCTGTCCATCCCAGCTGTTGCAACCAACAATCTCATCCGCATCGCCTCGAGCACCCCGAACTGTATCACTCGCCTACCTCCGTCTTGTCTCGTCTCGCCACCCGATCGATCCTCGTTCGAATCTGACACAACCACCTTGTTAATCAAAACAAACCCTACCGGCCCGTCCACCATCCAACGCCTCATCGGACCGAGCTCTCTCACATCCCCCGCAGACATTCAACACGTCCCATGCCTGCCTGAACTCATCTCCTCGTACCGATTGCGACCACCCACTTTGTTTCGCTCTTTTGCATAGACAATCTCGACTCCACTTGCTCTACCGACTCCGCCTGCCCCTGCCATGTCCATATACGAAACCGAGTTCACGCGCCGACTACGGTCGGGCATGTCGACCCCTCCGCAATCGCCCTCGAAGCGATCATCCTACCGGGATCGTGACGTGTTTGCAGATGTCGAAGTCCCTTCTCGAGGCATGAGTCCGGTCATGAAGGGCAAGGCCGTGGTGCGAGAGTATGGCGACCGGTGGGTGGTCCGAGTGCATGATCAAGATGGCTGACGGCTCAGATTCATCCCTAGTCGAGAAGGAGGATTGCATGCAGCGTACCAGCTGCTGCCAGACAATGGTCTGACGGATCCTGCGACCGCGAAACCTCGATCAAAGAAGAGAAATCAGTCGCAACATCAGGGCTTGGACGCCGAGGCCCGGAGAGGTGCGTGTTGAACAATCGCTCGTAGCTAACAGACTACAGAAGTCAACACGACCTTCTCCACCCTGCTCAAGAATGAGCTCTTTCCGAACAACTCACCATCAAGCTCGTCGAGACCGTCATCGCCCCGGCCTCACTCCTCGCCGCGACACCGGAGAACCATTACCTTCAACACATCCAACGTACCCAACCTCCCGCATCCGCCAGCCCAGGCGTCTAGCGCGGGTGTCACGCCTCTGCATCACCATCCCCCACCCGGCGTGCCAGGATCGGGAGATCGTGCTGAGCGGGAGCTGTCGCCTGCGTCGAACCTTCCACCATTGCCTTTGCACGCGCCTTCGACACCAACCTCGGGGAACAGCCGGCCACCGGGGGCTGGGCCGAGTTCATCACATCATCGCGCCCATCAGTCTCAGGTCGCCTTGACGTCGGGCTCAGGTGCTCACACCCCTCCCAGCCGCAAAGGCACCTTCTCGCCCCCGCCTTCAGGATCACCCTCGACGCCCACCAAGAACCGCGTCCTCAACTTCACATCGCCGAGTGCTAAGCGGATGGCGCAGCTTACCTCTGGCGCCAGTCTCGATGACATGAACCATGACCGCTACAGCTTGAGCCCTGTAGGACGGACAACGCAGCGGGCTCTGCTGAGTCCGCGGAAGAGTGTTCGCCAGATCTCACGCACACCGTTCAAGGTCCTGGATGCGCCGGAGCTCGCGGATGATTTCTATCTCAATCTAGTGTCTTGGTCCTCTTCCAATGTCCTTGGAGTGGGCCTGAATAGCTGCGTGTATCTGTGGAGTGCTCAAACCAGCCGAGTTACCAAGTTGTGCGACCTCACCGCCAATCAGGTCGAAGGAGACGAGTGTCCTGATACCATCACGGGCCTCGAATGGACCAACAAGGGCAGTACCATTGCTATCGGCACCAACCGCGGCTCGGTGGAGATTTGGGACGCCGAGTACTGCAAGAAGATTCGTACCATGTCTGGCCACACTGCTCGTGTGGGCAGTTTGGCTTGGAACAACCATATCCTCTCGTCTGGATCGCGCGACCGCTCGATCCTGCATCGCGACACGCGAGCACCAGACCAGTACATCCGCAAGCTGTCTGGACATCACAAGCAGGAGGTGTGTGGTCTCAAGTGGAACACGGACACCGACCAGCTCGCGAGTGGAGGCAACGACAACAAGCTCTTCGTCTGGGGCGGCACCGACTCTCGCCCGACGTGGCGCTTTGGCGAGCACCGCGCTGCCGTCAAGGCTATCGCCTGGAGCCCGCACCAGAGGGGTGTCCTGGCCAGTGGGGGTGGTACTGCCGACAAGAAGATCCGCTTCTGGAATAGTCTCACTGGCGGCCTCGTCAGTGAGTGGGACACGGGATCGCAGGTGTGCAACCTGATGTGGTCGAGGAACTCGAACGAGATCGTGTCCACTCATGGATACTCCGCCGGCCCCGTTCAGAACCAGATTCATGTCTGGAGATACCCCTCTATGACGCAGGTCGCGACTCTGACAGGCCACACGTACCGTGTCCTGTACCTCGCCATGAGCCCGGACGGCCAGACGATTGTGACTGGCGCCGGGGACGAAACGCTGCGCTTCTGGAATGCATTCCAGCGACCTGCCGGGGAGAGCGCTCGCATCACTGCTAGTAGCGGAGCTGCCAGTGGCCTCAACCCATTCGCCAAGCTGCGCTGATCGACCTTACGACTGAACCAGTACCTTGTTGACATTTTACTCGCCTGCACGCAACCTTCACGACCGACATCATCAGCAAGCCTTTCACCAGCATCAACGATACAACCTATGTTTCGCCCATCACCAAGTCCTCTAGGTTCTCTCTCATCATTCTGCTTTTGTTGACCTTGTATTATAGTTTACTGCTCCCCTGTGTGGATGACGAACACAGCCGAGTAGATCTGGGGATGTTTGTGTAGAGAGACTAGAGGATGCATGCATATCAACCTTGTACATTCAGGCTGATCGGCTAGTGACGGCTGCGGATGGACGGACGGCCGAAGAGGCAAGAGCCCGACGGGATCCGAGGGGTGCGGCGGTGCGGTGTGTACGTGGGAGGCGGCCGAGAGCCGACTATGACCTCGGCGACGAGATTCGGATTCATGAACGGTGCCAAGAGTGGAGACTAGGTGAAATAGAAAGACGTCGGTGACTGCCTAGCCAGCTTGATGTTGAATTGAAAGGTGAGGGGGGTGAATGAAATTTGACGATTGCTGTGAGGATGCAGCTGATCGGTGATCGATCAGGTGCTCAGGCTCAGGAGAGTGAGGGCGGCTAAGAGACGAGGGGACAAGGTAAAGCGGGAAGTGGGAGGTATGGAAGATTGGTGGCCAGGTATGCGAGTGGTGCAAGCGATGATGCAACTGCTGTAATGAAGCGAGGCTGGAGCCGCCGTGTGCAGTCAGTGTAAGAGTGCAATGGTCGTTGCAGCAGCAGACGGCACCCGGCGATCGAAGACATCATAACGTGTGCCTGGTGGTGGACCTGGTCCTGGCGTGTCTCCGTCTAGACTACCAGCTCTGCTCTCACCCCTCTCTCTCCTCCATCATCCATCTCTACCTCAACTCCCACTCCATCCTTTGCATTCGGCCCATCTCAATCCTACATCGACCCCCGTCTCTGCATCGCCCGCCGACCCACACATTTGTTGTCAACACCACCACGCCCGTCCGCCCTTCGCCCATCGAATCGCGCGTAACGTAAATGGCTCGTCCCTCCCCGTCTTGAACCTCCGAGGTTTCCAACCTCCACCATGCAGTTCCAGCCGTACCCGATAGACCCCAACGCTCCCCCCTCGCCGGGGCACACCACCCCAAAGGCTAGCGAGTCTCTCGCAGCTCCGATGATGAACCCCCATGCAGCTCGGTCACACACCTCCCTCATCGATCCCCGGGTGGAGGAACTTCAAGCCACCGGAAACGGCTACGGCGGTCCTCCGGACGCTAACCTCAATGTCGATTCCCTCCCTCGCCGCGGCCACCAACCGAGCGCAAGCGTCGGCTCGTTCACGTCTTTTCTTAGCAGCAGCCCGCCGTCGTTCGCTGCCGACGATCCGCATGCAGAGCAACATTTGCAAGCCGGTGACGACAGTGGCGCTGCAGGAATAGCACCCCCGGTCCCTCCCATGGGCGGGGATGAGTTCAGTTTGCCAAGCCCTGCTGATGATGGAAACGACCAAAACGCTCACTACCCCGGAGTCGTCATGAGTGGCCCGGGGCTTGGATTCGACGACGTCACGCTCGATGCCGACTCGATGGCCGACATCCTCGACCCCGCTGCGGCGCCGGCGGGCAACCAGCCCGGCCCGAAAGCAGCGGGTGCCAACATTGCCCCATGGCTCGAAGAGGACGAGCCGCCCTCTCCGTCTTCGACGCCCTCGCAGTCCAGTCTAAGGCCGCCGAACCCGATCCACGCAGAGACTATGCCCCCGTCCCTCATCTCGAGCGCGAGCACGTCGACAACACATGTGGACAGGAAGGAGAAGAAGTCACATCTGAGTCACTTTCCCTCTGTGCCCAACATCCCGCGGATACTGCACCGGCACCACCACCACGGCTCGACATCGCAGCACAAGGGCTCTGGAGACGACTTCCTGCAGCCGTATCCACTCGGAGCTTCGACACAGGCGTCCTCTGCGTCATCCCTGTTCAACGACGGCACGATCACACCGACATCCTACAGCTCTCACAAGGCTCGATCGATCATCGGCGGACGCGAATCACCAATACCGCCAATCCCTGATCGCGCAGGCAGTGTGGCTTCAACAGGAGGACATCACCACAGGTTACGCTTCGGGAGCACGGCGACGACAGCCATGACGTCGAGCTCCGGGGCGAGCACATACGGTGACTCACAAAGCAAGAAGAAGGGGTTCCTCGGCAACTTCCTGCGAAGAAAAACAGGGAGTGGGGGTGCTTCTTCCCCACAGCTGCCGCCCGACTTCATGCCCCCGTCGCGCGTGGTGACGTCCGGCTCAATATCGACACAAGGATCGAGCCTGCGAAACCAGAGCGTGTCGACGCAAGGGACGGTCTCACCAACAGCGACATGGAGCGCACGCAGCAACAGCATTCAGTCCGACGCCAATGTGTCCCCGCTACATGCACCGCAGGAGGAGGACGATGAGCCAGAGCTCTTCCTCAACACGAATCTCGACGACATGGAGGGAATCGTGGACCCGAACATTGCGAACCAGCCGCGGCCACCAGTGCCATTGCCCACCTCGAATGTGGGAGGAGAAATGGGACTCGCCGATGCGCTCCACCACACCTCGTCCTTTGCGTACGGCAACGGTACTGTCGGGCCTTCGAACGGGCGAGCGATTGTGGAGCAGGCCGGAGGCCCATCAGCATTCACACGGCCGAATCCCTTCATGTCGTACTCGTCTGGCTCGGCGTCTGGCTCTGAGCCGCCATCACCGTTTACTGTCTCTCCGAAGACTTCCATTCCGAACGCCACGACGAATGCGCCGCGACGACCGTCTCAGCTCCGGAATGTCAAGATCAACTCTGTGGACAGCGAGAGCTCCGACGTCTCGAGTCTGCAGCCTCTCGCTCCATCGTGGGCGCAGGGCATGCAACCCCCGCCCAACATGTTCAAAGACCCGTTCGGATCTGTTTCGTCACGCACCACGCAGCGCGCCGATGGGGCGCCCGTATCCCCGTCCCGCTCCACGATTGCGCCGGGGAGCTACGAGGGCGCAGGCTCCAGTCAGTCGCACGGCTACGCCCCGGCTATTCCGCCGCATAATGGGACCGCTCCTGCGTCATCGTCGGCCGCCTGGGCGGCTCCGGAGAGTTGGGGCGTGGAAGCGGATGGGCCAGGGCAGGAGGAGGAGGACACGACGTCGAGCAGCGGCAGCGAGTCGGACTGGGTTGAGTCGTCCGAGAGCGTCGTCACGCCGGGATGCTGCGAGGGCACCGACCCCATGGCCGTGCCGGACGGCGCGGGCGTGTCCGGTGTTAGCACCCCAAGAGCGGCCAGAGGTAGTCACCAGGGCCACCACCATCACCACCGTCACCGGCCAAAGACAACTGGCTTACACCACGACAAGAGCCGCTGGGTCTCGGATGCGACGGCGAGCGTTCCGGTGAGTACAGCAGCTGAGATCTGCTGAAAGAAGCTAACCCCCAGCACTTCATCCGTATCTACCGCGCAGATGGCTCGTACTCTGTGCTCTCGTTCCCGATCGGGACAACGACGAGCGAGCTCATCTCGTCTTTGTCCGGTGGCGAGGCGTCGACCAAGATGAAGCTCTACATCCGCGAGCGAGGGCAAGACCGTCAACTCCTGTCGTCGGAGCGGCCGCTGGCGCTGCAAGCTCGACGATTGCTGCAGGCCGGCTACACGGAGGCCGAGCACATCGAGGAGATCGGAAAGGAGGATCTCAGCATGCTCTGTCGGTTCATCTACCAGACTCCAGTTCTGCCCGTCATGAACCCAGAGGAGGAGAGCTCGTACGAGTCGTTCGAGTTCATCGACCTGTCCGGCCGTGACCTGCAGGTTATCCCGATTTTCCTGCACCTGCACGCCGACAACATTATCATCCTGAATGTGTCCCGCAACCCGATGACGGATCTGCCGCTCGACTTTATCCAAGCTTGCACGAGTCTGAAGGAGCTGCGCATGTCCAACATGGCGCTGAAGAAGATCCCGGCGTCTCTTCCGGCCAGTACGACATTGACGCGCCTCGACCTCTCCTGCAATCGTATCGCGGATCTCGAGTCGGCGCACCTGTGCGACATCCAGACCCTGCTCTCCCTCAAGGTGCAGAACAACCGCCTGTCGTCGATCCCGACCTACTTCACGCAGATGCACGGGCTCAAGTATCTGAACATTTCGAACAATGTGTTCGACGAGTTCCCCGCCGTCATCTGCCAGATGAGCAACCTCATGGATCTTGACGTGTCTTTCAACCGCATCACGGAGCTGCCCGCCGAGTTATCGAACCTGCGTACTCTAGAACGCCTCATCTGCGTCGGTAACGAGCTGACCGAGTTCCCGGAGACTTTTGTGACGCTCGAGAACCTGCGTGTCCTGGACGTGCGTAGAAACAAGCTGATCGACCTCAACCCGGCGTACGCGCTTCCGCAGCTCGAGGTGCTGCGCGCCGACAGCAACGACCTCGTTACGCTCGATACGGAGCTCGGCCCGCGAATCAAGGACTTCAGCGTGCCGCACAACTCGATCACGGGCTTCACCCTCGCTTCCGTCACCGGCATGGCATACTCGCTCACGAACTTGAACCTGTCGCACGGCAAGCTGTCGAGTCTGGCGGAGAGCGCGCTAAGCGAGCTCGTTAATCTCTCCGAGCTCAACCTCAGCTTCAACCAGTTCACGCGGCTGCCGCAGACACTCGACCGCCTCGTCAATCTCGAGATTTTCAGCTGCACGGACAACACGCTGGACTCGCTGCCCGAGAATTGTTTCGGCAACATGCAGCGGCTGCGAATCTGCAACATTCACAATAACAACCTGAAGAATCTCCCGGACGACGTGTGGAACTGTGGCGCCATCGAGAGCATCAACCTGTCCTCGAATCTGCTCGTGACCTGGCCCAGCCCGCAGAAGTGGTACGAGCAGGTTGCGGCCGACCCGATGCGCAAAATGTCCACGGTGTCGGCGCTGTCGAGCAAGTCGAAGAGCCTGGTCCCGCCCGCGGGCGAGAGTCTGACGCATCTCTTCCTCTGCGACAACAAACTGAACGACGACGTGTTCGACCAGATCGCCCTCTTCGGCAACCTCCGCGTGCTCAACCTCAGCTTCAATGCCGAGATCCTCGAAGTGCCGGCGTACACGCTGAGCCACTGCCAGCGGCTCGAGGCGCTGTATCTGTCCGGCAACAAGTTGACGAGCCTGCCATCCGAGGACTTGGAGCAGCTCACAAACCTCCGTGTGCTGCATCTGAACGGTAACAAGCTGCAGACGCTGCCCTCTGAGCTCGGCCACCTCAAGCACCTCGAGCACCTCGACGTCGGATCCAACGTACTCAAGTACAACATTGCCAACTGGCCGTATGACTGGAACTGGAACTGGAACACGGCCCTGCGATACCTGAACCTGTCGGGTAACAAGCGTCTCGAGATCAAGCCCACGAGCGGACAGGAGATGTACCAGCATGCGGGAGGGCCGCGGCGGGAGCTGTCCAACTTTAGCTCCCTGTCGCACCTCCAAGTCCTTGGTCTCATGGACGTGACGCTGCGTATTCCCGTGCTGCCAGACGAGTCGGACGAGAAGCGTGTGCGCACCTCCTTCTCCAACATCAACAACATGGCGTACGGTATTTCGGACATGCTCGGCTCCGTCGACCACCTCGCCATGTTTGATTTGGCCGTGCCCAACTTCCGTGGCAGCGCGGACGAGTGTATCTTTGGTATGTTTGGTCGCGCCGCGCCGAGCATTCCCGCAGGCAAGATCCCAAAGTATGTCCAGGAGCACTTTGCGACGATGCTCGCGGAGCAGCTGCGCGCTCTGCAGCCCGACGAGGCGACGACGGAGGCGCTCCGCCGATCGTTCCTGTACATCAACAAGGCGACGTTTGACGCTCTGTCGGGCAACGACAAGCGTCACCGTGACTCGAACGGCTCGCTCCTGACCATGGGCCTCGTGCGGAAAGGTCCCAGTATCCACACTCAGTTGCGCACAGGTGCCTCGGCCGCTGTCGTGTACATGCGCGGCAAGGACCTGTACGTTGCCAACGCGGGCGACACGCTCGTTGTCATCTCGAGCGCCGGACGCGCGGAGCTGCTGTCCAAGCGTCACGACCCGACTGACCGCGAGGAAACGGCACGTATCCGACGGGCCGAGGCGTGGGTATCGACCAAGGGCTTCGTCAACGACGACAAGGAGATTGAGATCTCGCGCGCGTTCGGATTCTACCAGGCGCTGCCTGCCGTCAATGCGTCGCCTGAGACCAAATCGCGACAGCTAAACGAGACGGACGAGTTCATCATCATCGGCAACTCGGCGTTGTGGAAGTGCTGCCCGTACCAGACCGCCGTCGACATTGCGCGCACGGAAGCGAAAGATCCAATGATGGCCGCGCAAAAGCTGCGCGACTTTGCCATCTCGTATGGCGCCGAGGGCAGCGTCATGGTCATGGTCGTGAATGTGTCGGACCTGTTTGTTGGCGCTGGCCCGATGGCGGACAAGGGCCTGGACGAGTTCAGCGTGAAGCAGCGCGCGCCCCGCCGGCGCATCGAGGAGGTCGGCGACCGCACCCTGAACCGGCTGCAGCAGGAGATTGAGCCGCCGACGGGGCAGGTCGCGATCGTGTTCACGGACATTGTCAACTCGACCGCGCTCTGGGAGACGAACCCCGGCATGCCGACCGCGATCAAGATGCACCACTCTCTCATGCGCAGACGTCTGCGCCTTGATGGCGGCTACGAGGTGAAGACTGAAGGCGACTCGTTCATGGTGTCCTTCCAGTCCGTGACGGCTGCGTTGCTGTGGGCGTTCAACTGCCAAATCGGTTTGCTACAGCTCGAGTGGCCCCGCGAACTCCTCGAGTCCGAGGACGGCAAGATGATTTTCGACTCGCAGGGGAACGTGATCCACCGCGGTCTCCGGGTGCGCATGGGCGTGCACTGGGGCGCACCCGAATGCGAGCGCGACCCCATCACGCGGCGTATGGACTACTACGGCCCGATGGTGAACCGCGCAGCGCGTATCAACGCTTCAGCAGACGGAGGGCAGCTCATGGCGTCGCAGGACGTGATCAACGAGATCCGCAAGCTGCGCGAGTATATCGAGTCCTCAGACGAGCACAGCCTGGACGAGCTCGACCCGGTCGTGAAGCGCGACGTACTTGAGCTCCGCCGCATAGGCGGCCTCGACATCAAGGACATGGGCGAGCGCAAGCTCAAGGGTCTCGAAGTGCCCGAGAAGCTCTCGCTGCTGTACCCGAAAGCGCTGTCTGGACGGTTGGAGCTCTTCACAGGTCTCCGCGCCAATGTCGAGGTCAACAACGACGCGCGCATCTTCGCCTCGGACCAGGACATCGAGGACGCCCGCGCCCTGGCGGCGATTACACTCCGTCTCGAGGCGCTGTGTGCGCTGCAAGCCTCCCCTGTTGAGTCCAAGCCGCCCTCCCCGACCACACCGTATAGCGACCCGCGTCTGAGCATGATGTCCGGCTCAGCGCCCGGGGCGAACACGAACATCCCCCCGCCGGGAACCCCGGGCGGCCCAGCCGGTGCGCGGATGAGCATCTCCGGCCCCGTGCCCACGAACGCAGGCCACAGCAACACGGCGAAGCGCGGAAGTGGCCTCTCGCCCGTCCCCAACCCGCACCTCGGCCCCGCGATCCGCGACAACATGACCGAGGACGAGTACGTCGAAGTCGTCGGCAGTCTGACCACGCGTATCGAGAACTGCCTCAGCACGCTGTACCTGAAACACCTGGGCGGGTTTGCCAGCGTGCTCGCGGCACTGGAACAGGCCACGCATATCGATAAGGGCATGCTTGTGCATGCGCTGAGCCAGATGAGCGGGCATATGGGCAACAGTGCCGGCGTGAATGGGTACGGCGGCGGCGGTCACGGCGGTTACGGCGGTGGGTATGGCGGGGGTGTGTACGGCGGGTACGGGAGCGGACATGCTACGCCGACGCCGAACAGTCCGCGGATTGGGCCGGCGTAGCCTTCAGCTTGGTCATTGACATCCTCTCTCCCCCTCTCTCCTCATCACAGCTATACCAGCAGTACCAAGTACATTATCATCTCGGAGATTACAGTGTAGGTTAGGTAGTCGTGTTATGGACCTTTGGTCGTGCTGTTCTGTCATGACTGGGCATTGCGTCCTCGTGATCGTGCGAGGCGATCTGTGGAAGTAGCGGCGGAGCTTGGGTGTGTGCCGAGGAGTGTCAGCCCAGCGAGGTGATACACCGCCAGAGGAAACGAAATGACGCATAGTAGGCAGGTCATGCGTGCGAAGTGATCGGTCCCGCCGCTCTCAACGTTCCATGGCCCCATTCAATCGGTCCACTCTCCGGGCCGATATAGGCTAGTCTCGGGTCTGAACAGTCTCGACAGCGTCCAGACGTCCATGGTCCAATGTCCCATGGTGTGTGCACTCAGAGGGACGGGCCATGTGGTCTTCGACCTAGTGCACGGCTGCACACGGGGTCGAGTGGTAGACATCATGCACCAGTTTGTCTTTTTCCGACCTCCAACACCCACAGTCGTTGACCCGGTCATGATGAGTAGCTAGCCCCGGTCCCGAACGATCTCGACGTCTCGACTTCATCTCGACTCTCTCTCTTTCGCTTACACTTGAATACGTTTGCGTGCTCCCTCGCTCCTCGCTCAGTTTGCTCGTTCCCCGAATACTACACTCTTCCTTCCACCCTGTCGTTCAGTGAGATCTCGGCCTTCCTTCTCTTACAACGACGCCGACATTGCACACATACATCTTTTTCTCACCGCATCGATAGCATCGATCCCCCAGACCAGTGACATTTCCACAAGTCGACCTTCCTTCCTCCTGGTGCGCCCCCATAATCTCCGGGCCGCGGCCATCAGACTCTAAACGCCAGTACCTGCGCCATTTCTGCTATAATCGCGCTGCACTGCCAGCCTCTTTACACTCTTTCAACATCATAATCACCCGTCGCGTCGTACGCGTTGACGCGTGGAGCGACGACGACACCACAAAGAAGACACTGCACGCTGCTCTCACACGAAACGCCAGAATTCGATCTGAAGCTGCGTACCTGCAGTCAGTTGAATCGCTGATTCAGGGTCCACAACCCGCTGCCGACCAGTCAAGGTGCCGTACGTGCCGGGCCTGATCCTGAACGCCCGAACGCCCGTCACCACACGCCGCGCTGGGTCAAGCAACAACAACGACTCTTCTTGTCAACAACTCCCTATATCCACACATTACACCATGGCCACGGACGAAGCCTCGAGCAGCAGGGGGTGAGTACTTGCACACCACAGGCAATTGCAGACACGGGGGGAACGCAGGGCATACCCATACTCTACTGCCGGGCAACGCCGAGAGCCGGCGGCTGCGGAGGCTGCGACGTGTAAACAACCCCAGCCGACTGGCAGGAGACTCTGAACCTTGTGCTGCACAGGCGTTTGATGCTGTCTCGACCACAGCGGCGTACTTCAGCTGTCTGTTTCGCCAGATGTAGCTAACAGCAGGCCGTTCCTCTATCCGCCAACACCACAGTCAATCCAGACGCTGCTCGACAGCAACTCGGGCGACTCTGACCGACCAAAGACGATCCTGCGGCATGCGCTCTCGTTCGCCGTGTCCCACGCCGACGTCGAGCTCACGACATGGCTCACGAGCGTCCAGGGTGATATGGTGAGTACCCCCATCATTCTATCACTTGGAGTCGTGTGCGCGGCTGGCCGCCTGAGCACGCGTACGTGCGGTGCGGTGGTGTCAGCCTCGCACAAGCTGCGCGTTTGTGCGCATGCTTCGATGAACTTCGTCGGTGCCATCACTGCTGTGCAGACCCATGCGGTAGAATCCAGGAGAGGGGTAACGGTCGTGTGCGTGTGTCACTCTGGGCGCACGACCGCCCCGTTGCTCGCCCGTGGCTTACCTGATGGTCCGCACGATCGCCAGCATGCTTTGGCCCACTCCTTGATCACCAGAGCGATTTGGCGTTGTGCACGAGCTTGAGGCCCGGTGGACACAAGCTGACCACACAGGCCACCCTGCTGGACGAGGCCGCCGGAGAACTCGAGGACGATGACGGCTGGGGAGTCGTCGGTATGGCGATCCAGTCCTCGTGCGGACAAGCAGAGCGCGAGGAGGTCGTCCGCCTCGTTGTTGGGCGTTGGGGCGTCGAAGCCGGGCCACGGAACGGGCGAGACCGCGCAGGCTGGACACCACTGCATCTCGCTGCCATCGTATCGAGCCCGCAGATCGTCTCCGTGCTGCTGAACCGAGGGGCGTCGGCGTCGGCACTCACTGCGCAAGGGCTCAGCCCGTACGACCTCATCACGGGGATGGAGGGCCGCGAAGCGCTCCCGATCCTGTTAGACCCATTAGCCGACCAGCCGATAGCGGAGGACACACACATTGCCCCTCACCGGCGGGAGCTCCTGAAGCGGCGGCGGATCCGGCAAGCGACGGAAGCAGCGCGGGCAGCGAAGCGCGGCGAGCTGAAGCGTATCGCGCTCGAACGCGAGCGCTGGGTCCGCGAGCGCGCGAAGCATATCGGGGTCGAGAGCAGCGTACTGTTCAACCCCGAGTCGCACGAGGGAGAGGAAGAGGAAGAGAGCGATACGGACGAGGACGAGGATATGAGCCCGGACCACCTCGTCTTCCACATCAACCAGGTCCCGGCCCTCCTCGACGTGTTCGTCACGAGCTACCGACCGGTGTGCCAGCCCCTAGCACGAAGAGCACTCCCCGCCAATGCACTCTACCTCTACGCACGCTTTGCGCACTACCAGTGCGACGAGACGTGGCTCGAGGAGCTGCTGGAGGGTGCCGTTGACGCCATTGAGCATGGTGTTTACGTGAGTACAGCTGATTGGACAGCCCTGAAGCTGACGACAGGGCAACGGAGAGGACCTCGCGTTCCTTGCGTTCTGGGAGTACAACCTGACGCTGTTGCTGTACCTGCTCCGTGGGGACGAGTCGCTCGCCGGTGTCTGTGACGAGCTCAACTTCCTGACCATGATTGAGGAGCTCATCAATGCGATTCACGTCTTCATCATCCGCATAGCGGAGCGCAAGATTGACGAGATCATGGACGCCGCGATGCTCGACTTTGAGGCGCTCGAGGACTTTGACGATGTTCGGTTTGCGGACGAGTGGAACCTGTTCCGGTCGTTTGGCGCCAAGAAGAAGCGCGACTCGCAATTAGCGCAGGCCATCTTCTCTCTGCCGAATACGCCCGAGCGGCCAGACCGGAGTAAGCGCGACAGCGCCAAGCTCCACCGCCGTGTCAACTCGATCCAGGACCTGCGCTTACAGGCATCCGCTGCCACCGCCGAGGCCAAGGAGGCCATTGCGAACGGCATGTCTAAGGCGCAGGCCGTGTTCGGGGACAAGGCGTCGCCGCGCAAGGTGACGGACATCCTGACGTCGGTGCTCCTGATCCTGCAGCTGTACGAAGTGAATCCGGCGTTCATCGTGCAGGTGTTTAGCCAGACGTTTTTCTGGATTTCGAGCGAGCTCTTCAACCGCATCATCACGCGCAAGAAGTACCTGTGCCGAACCAAGGCGGTGCAGATCCGGATGAACATCACGGCGCTCGAGGACTGGACGCGCTCGAACGGCCTTCCGCCCAACATTGCCAGCAAGCACCTCGAGCCTGTCATGCAGCTCCTGACGTGGCTGCAGTGCTCGTCGCAGATCACCGAGTTCGACACGCTGATCGGCACGGTGCAGACGCTGCGTGCCCTGAATCCCCTCCAGATGCGCCGCGCCGTGCAAAACTACCGCTTCGAGGTGAACGAGAGCCACATGGCTGACGACTGCGTCCAGTACCTCGCCCAGTTACAGCGCGACTGGGACCGGCGGCGAGTGCAGACGGCCTCGGCGGCGCACTCCGTCACGGCAGAGAACAGTATGCCCATCGAGGCGCTGTTCGACGGCACACCTATTGGAGAGTGGACACCGCAAACGGCGCCAGAGAGCCCGGGCGAGCTCCTTGACTCGCGTTTCATGCTTCCTTTCCTGATCCCACGGAATGAGTATCTCCTCGCTGCTCCGCCGCCGGATACGGCGTACCGCAATCTGCTTCTTGAGCGGACACTTCGCGATGGCTCGATTCCCAGCCGACCACTCAGCAGTGCGAGCTTTTCGTCCTCTGCCCCATTGGGCTGGGTAAGAGCCCCGGCGCGCGTGCGCGACATGCCGCCAGACTTCTTCTCGTGGCTGAAGACTCGCCAATCTGAGGCTCAGGGACGGTTAGGCTACCAGCGCCCTCGTCTCGACAGCCGGCTGCGCGAGGAGCCAGGCAAGGTCGACTTGGCAGAGGACGACGAGGTGGAGGAGTTACTCGGCGATCTCGAACCCGTTAGCGAGGACCGGGAAATGACCCCGACACGGCTGGGCGAGGCTCCGCCAGTACCCTCCAAGGACAGGAGTTTCCCGCAACTCTTTGCGCCGCCACCGCTCAACGGTTCCGGAACACCGGGCACGCCGAGCAAGTCGCCCTTCGCATCCCCGACGCTAGGCAGCCGTGCGTCGTTCGGCTCCCTTTCCTCGCCCACCCGCGACCGCGACAGGCACGCGCGCCAAGCCTCGACCGAGCTCGCATACCGCCCCTCTCCGCCTCGCGACGTGCTCGCCGAGAACATTGAGCTGATCACGCGCGCGAACGACATCATGAAGTCGGGCAATGGGGGCCACTACGAGCTCGGCCGTGTACAGAGGCAGCGACAGGCGTCCGTGTCCTCCGTCAACTCGGTCGCGAGTGCCGGCAGCCAGAAGTCGGGCAAGAAGAAGTGGTGGCAGATCCGCAAGTCGTCGGGATCCGTGGATAGCGACGGCCGACGGACGCGGGAGGGCACCGCCGAGACGATTCGGCCGTCACCGAGGACAAGTCCTGTCAAGCAGCCGACGGCGCCTGCGGCGTAGGAACGCCTCAGGACACCGAGCGTGCCGATGCCCCCGGTTGCAGTGAGCCCGGCGCCGACACCGTCGTAGCGGCGGTCAGGCTTCCGGAGAACTAGACTACCGCTCCGAGTTGCGGACTCGGGGTAGCTTCAGTAGCTATGCTATGGTCATTGGAAACATCTCATTCCCGACGAGCAGTCAGGGGACTCGATACACGCAACAACTTCCCCGGCTTTGCTTGCGAGGATTTGCGGTGCTCATGGACATTACGGACCCAGGGTATGCGAATCTACATAGAGTGTACTTGCATATGCATTTTGGGCCACACCACGCCGAGTGGCAAGGTCGACGGCCGAGATCCCATCACATCTAACGGACACATTGGGTCGATTAGTCAGCACTGACACGGAGGAAGTGCGCCGGAATTTGTTGCTGTGTGTTGGAGTGATGCATGGGTGTTGATGCCACTGTATGCTAGGAGGACGACAGAGGAGAGCGGCGCTGGATGCATCGTCGACCGGCGCCACTGAGTGGATGATGGGAGCCCAGGGAGGGGCAGGCGCTAGGGCGGCGCGGGCCCGCAGGCGGCGCGCGCGCGTGGACGGTGTGTTTTCGCATTTGCCGCTCAGCCAGTTGCAGTCATCAACAATACCTTGTGTTCGCTGCGACCCCCGAAATTCATCTTCCTCTCTTCGACCTGTCCATTCCCGTTTCTTCTTCAACTACCCCTTGTTTCTCTCTCTCAGTCTGTCCCGCCCACCTTCCTTCTTTGCGCGACACACACCGACACGTATAATCATCATACATACGCGAGCTTTGGCCTGTCCTCGATTTCTAACAAGATAGACCACGACGTAACCGGAACGACGCTCAGGCGAAAGCGATAGCACCGGCGAACATCCACATCCAGCATGTCCGACGTGGAGCCGCCGCCGAGGCCGCCGACGCCTCCGCCCCCAGAACCCGTGACTGTGTCCGACATCGTCGCCGAGGTCGCCGAGGTGAAGCCGTCGATGCCCTCTGCGCCGACGATGGAGGTGGACACGGTCGAGGACATCTCGGCGCCGCACCCCGAACCAGCAATCAAGCCGACCCTGGCTGACCTGTTCGACGACGAGCCGCCTCCATCTCGCACCTCCTCGCGCGGGGTTCGTTTCGACCTCCCCGACGACTCGAGCGATGCCGGGCCCTCATCACGTCCTCATTCGCCGCACTCGCCGCATTCTCCACACTCGCCCTACTCCCGTTCGACGTCACCGACGTCCCGTGAGACGACGCCGAATGGGACCCACAGCGTCAAGAAAGTCGCCAGAGGACGGAGACGGGGGACAAGTACCCCGCCCCCCGGTCCTGCGCTTATTGGCGACCTGCCCCTTGCTTGGGACGAGGCGCTCGAGACGTTTGAGACGCTCGATCGGTGTGTCTACGAACGGAAGGATCTCGGATTGTCGAGGGAGCAGGACGAGATGATGGTGTGCGACTGTCCTTTTGACCCAGGTATGTTTTCCTCCTCGCGCTCCCTGCCTGTCTTCTCCTGGAACGGTCTCAGCTTGCATGTCTTTGAAGTCTTCGAGGCGTTGGGATGGTGAAGAGGCGGTGAGAGATGCTTTGGAGGGAGCGCCGAGGATACAGCTGCCAAGATGGCACGAGCTGACATCCAGATGACCCCGACGACCAGCCCTGCGGGCACGAAAGCGACTGCATCAACCGCATCATGTTTATCGAGTGTTTAGCGGGCGAGTGCAAGGCCGGCAAGCGGTGTCGGAATCAGAGGTGAGTTGGCAGCGAAGGCGCTGCGGGTGTCAGCAGTCTTCATTCCACCTAACATTCCCGTCCCTTTACCATCCTCCACCACCCGTCTCAGCCTCCCACCTCAGTTGGCTTCGCGCATCAGTCGAGTCCGTGGGGCTTCTTGGAGACGGTAGGGTGGGGTCGGGTCGCGCGTGAGCCTCCGTCTGGAGCGGTCATGAGGCTGCCCGGTAGTGTCACGAGAACGGACGGTGGAAGGGGCGCACGTTCCGTCCCTCTCACCCATCCTTTGGTGGAATGAAGAGCTGTGGCGGATACGAGCTTGCATTGAGAATTTCATAGCTGACGACAGACTCGCTCGGAAACAGTATGCGCCCGTTGACGTTGTGCAGACCGAGAAGAAGGGGTTCGGATTGCGTGCTAGAGAGGACATACCAGCGTGAGTAGCTAACTCAATCTCCCCCGAACGTCAGCTAATAAACAGCGGCGCTCTGGTCTACGAGTACATCGGCGAAGTCGTCGTCGAGAAAACGTTCCGAAAACGCATGGCCGAGTACGCCGACGAGGGCATCAAGCACTTCTACTTCATGATGCTGCAGAAGGAGGAGTACATCGACGCGACCAAAAAGGGCGGCATCGGACGCTTCGCGAACCACTCGTGCAACCCGAACTGCGAGGTGCAGAAGTGGGTCGTCGGTCGCCGCATGCGCATGGGCATCTTCACGAAGCGCGACGTCAAGAAGGACGAGGAGATCACCTTCAACTACAACGTGGACCGCTATGGGTGAGCTCACTGAGTATCTGGCAAGCTGACCGCAGACACGAAGCGCAGATCTGTTACTGCGGCGAGCCCAACTGTGTCGGCACGATTGGAGGCAAGACGCAGACGGACATTGGTGGCATGGACGACCTGTTCCTCGAGGCGCTCGGCATCCTTGACGAGGTCAACAGCGGCGGCATGAAGGGCAGCCGCAAGAAGAAGGCGCGCCACCTCGACGAGGACTACGTTCCCATCCTGACGCCGATCACGGACCCGGCGCAGGCGAACAAGGTCTCGGCGGCCATGCGCCAGTCGGTGGAGAACCCGACCATGATGGGCCGTCTCATCGAGCGTGTGAAGGTAAGCTACCTTTCAGTCAGACCATAGCTAACCCCAGCTCACGGATGATCCGGCAGTGCATCGCCAGATGATGCGGATGCACGGTTTCTCGCTGATGGCGATGATCCTGACGTCGCTAGCGGACGACCGGGGCATCGTGCTTGCGGCGCTGCAGTGCATGGAGAAGTGGCGAACACAGATCCGCAACAAGATCGAGGACTCTGGCATCGAGGAGCCGATCAAGGTCATCGCGGCGGGCGACGATGCTGAACTCGCCGCTATCGCACAGCGTCTGCTCGACTACTGGTCCACACTCGAGCTCAGCTATCGCATCCCGCGGCGGTCCAAGATTGCTTCTGTAAGTTTGCGGTTGACTGCCGAAACTGACGTCAGCTCGACGACGATGATGAGCGAGACACGACGACGATCGAGGAAGCGAATGAGGCTCCGCGCCGGCCTCTGCGACCAGTCGACGACCTCGCGAACACGGACAGCATCCACTTTCACCTCGCGCCAGTTCGGCATCGTCCCATCGCACCGCCCGTTCCATGGTACAGGCCGCCGCGGTTTGAGCCGCCGCCCCCGCCGCCGCGCGTACCGAGCCAGGCGCACGATCGGTCCAAGCTCGACGCCATCATCGCGCTCGCGCAGCAGAGCAGCTCCTCAGCCCCGGCAACGCCGACGGCAGAGGAGCCGCGCAAGCGTCAAAAGCGAGAGCACCGGGAGCATAAGGAGCACCGGGAGCGCGAGCGAGACCAGCACCGCGCCGAGCGAGCTGAGCGCGACGCCGCAGCCGAGGAGGCGCGCAAGGAGAAACGCCTTACTAAGGCTATTGGCGAAGTCGTCGTCCGCGCCATGAGCAAGTATAAGGACCAGATGGAGCACGACACGTTCAAGCGCTACGCGAAGGATGTAAGTATCACCTATAATAGCTTTCGGTCAGGTTCAGTTCAGCTGACATACAGTGCACATCCATCCTTGTCGAGAAGGAGAAGCGCGGCGTCTCGTACCAGTCGCACAGGCATCCGCAGCTGAGCGAGGAGAAGAAGGCCAAGATCAAGTCGTTCACTAAGGAGTTCACGCACAAGGTCTTACGCAACCTGAAAGCTAAGGGCAAGCTGCGCAAGGTGCCTCGGCCGGACTCATCTTCCTCCTCTGCAGCGTTGGTCACTCCCGGATCGACGCCCGCACTCACCGTGGCAAGCAGCAGCGCTACGCCGAACGGGGCGGGCAGCAGCCAGCTCCTGGACGAGATGTTTGGAGAGGACGACGCGCCGCACAGTTTCGGCAGTGTGAGCGGCACGCCCCAGACGCCCCTAGACGGCACGCCGCGCGAGACGCCGTCGTCCATGTCGCCGTCCTTCGCGTTTGCGTCCCCGCACATGTCCTCCTCCATGGCATCCGTCGCGTCTACCTCGCCAGCGGGACGATCGCCCCTCCCCCCGCCAGTGCCGGTTATGCAGCAGCCTGTGGTGCAGGATAGGTTTGTTGGGGTCAAGCAGCCCCCAACAGGCCCCCGGGCAATGCAGGGTGGCGCCGCTAATGGCGCTAACGGAGCCGGAGCCACCGGAGCCAAGGGGCCCATCTTGGTCGACCGTGTCGCCAACGTGAGGCTGGCCGGCGATCGGGAGAAGCAGTAGTGCTGTAGTGTATGCAACATAATCAGAGTGTCCATGGTATCAAGCTGCATGCGTTCTATGAAGTCTAAGTGTTACAGATGCGTCTTCCCGTCTCCCTGCCGTTCACCATCTACCCGCGCACCCAAGCTCGCTCCGCTCGCTCGGGCGACTAGTAAACGACATCCCCATTCTCCCTCTCGCCGAGCTCCTGGCTCCCGGCCGCCCTCCGGTTCTGGTCGATGACATACTGGAGCGCAAAGCTGTTCTGGTCGCTGAGCTTGGCGACGCTGCCCTCAAAGTCCATGAGCGCCTTGTGCAGCGCGCGCATGGCGGGGGCGAACTCTGCCTTCCTCTGCTTCAGTTCCCGTCCATGAGCAGTCAGGAGCGCGGCGCTCCACACGAGGTCGAACTCGACGTGGGGCCCTTGCTCGGCATGCTGGGCCAGGAACCGGAGCAAGCGGGGCAGATGAACCGGGGGCAGCTGGCGCGCGAGCAGGGGCACGTCGCCGGGCGGCACGGCCTCGAAGACGCGCATGAGCAGCGGCGCCTCGTTCAAACGGAGCGCAAGGATGAGCGCGACGAGGTGCTCGCCCGCCACGAGCGACGTCAGCACGCTCTCGGGCGTCACGTCCAGCGCGAGGTCGAAGGGGTCGAACGCGGCTGATTCGTCGAGGGAATACACGAGCAGACCCTCCGTCGTTGCCGCCGCCCACGAGCGTCCAGTCGCACTGAAGCGGACACAGTTGGCGCCCACCGCACGCCTGTACTTCCTCTTGGACAGGTCGCCGCGGCTGGCGCCGGGGAGCGTCTCGTCGAGCCTGTCCTCGAGGTCGGACGCGTCGGCGGCCGCATCGTCGAGCGCGTCCAGGTTGCCCGCCTCGGTCATCTTGCGGCTGTCGAGCAGCTCCTGTGTGCCGTCGAGACTGAGGTTGTCCGAGATGGTGAATTTGCGGAGCATGACGCCGTCGACGGCCGCATAGAGGAGGACATACTTGCTCTTGCCCGCTGCGAGGACGCAGCGCCCGTCCGCGCTCCAGCACACTGTTGTGAAGTACTTTGACGCCGCGTTGTTCGCCGCACTCATCTTGTCCTCTGCCCTGCGGCCGCCCGACAGATCCCGCCTTCCCTCGATCACGGAGCGGATCTCGCCCGACCCAGCGTCAACAAAGGCAAGGTGCCCGTCCAGCGTCGAGGCCACGAGCTCCTTTCCGTCCGGACTGTAGGCGACGTCGGTCGCCTCGCCGCTCAGCGTGATCGGCTCCGTGGACCGATCGCGGCCATACACGCCCCACAAGCGCAGGGTGCGGTCCCAGCTGCACGAGGCGAGGCGGTCGCCGTTCGGCGAGAACGAGAGGCCACTGACGGGCGCAGTGTGGCCCTCGAGAATGTCCAAAAGCTTGCCAGTCTGCACGCTCCACATGTAGATCGCAAAGCTGTCGCTGCTGCCCGCGCACACGACCTCGCCACTCGGGTCGACGGCCAGGGACGAGAACTGCACCGGCGTAGGCGACGTGAACGTGCGGAAGTTGCGGTAGCGGACCATGTCAAAGGCGCGCACGGTGCCGTCCAGCGAGGCAGAGAAGAGGACGCTCCCGCTCTTTGCAAATTGGACGCTGCTGACCGACGCGCTGTGCTCCGAAAACGTGACAAAGCAGAAGCCACTCGCCGCATTCCACAGCTTGACCTTGCCGTCCTCGCCTCCGGTGGCCACATGCTGCCCGTCAGGCGAGAAGGAGAGCGTGTTCATGTCGAAATAGTGGCCCTGCTGCTTGAGAACATAGGACTCGGACTGCCACTCCCACACGAGGAGCTGGCCGAGCTTGGCCGCGCCGAACGCCAGCCACTCGCCGGACGGGTTCACAGCCACACTGCTGATCTTCTCGTTACTGATGCTGAGCGTGTGCACGGGCGTAAAGTCGGGCATCTCCCAGAGGCCGAAGACGCCAGAGGAGAAGCCGACGATCAGCAGCGAGGTGCCCTGGTGGAACGTTGCGCACGCCACCTTGGTGCCGGCCTGATTGAAGAAGTGGCGCGAGCGAATGCCCCAGCGAGTGTACGCCGCCTCGAACTCGGCCACCGTCGCAGCACTGGCAGAGGTGGAGGGCAGGTCGAGAATGTCCTCCTCCTCCTCGTCGCTGTCTTCGCCGACAGCCTTCTTGGCGCCCCACACGAAGACAGCCCCATCACGCGAGACAGTGTAGATCGTCTTCTCGTCGGCTGAGAACCATGCTCCGAGCACGGCGTCGCGGTGTCCGCCGAAGGACTTGGGCTTGAAGCCCTCGAGGGGGTCGAGCGTCCACAGGCGCGCGCTCATGTCCCGGCTCGTCGTAAGGAAGTACTTGCCCGTCTTGCTCCACGTAATGCTGAGCACGTCGTCCTGGTGTCCAACGTAGTCGCGGTGCAGAACGAAGGGGGCGAACTCGCGCGCGAGGTGCGACGGCGTTCGCCAGACTTGGATCTTGTTGCCAAGTCCGACAGCGAAGAACTTGCCGTCAGGCGAGAACTGGACGCAGCTGACCGGACGCTGGAAGTTCATCCAGTGCAGAACGGTACCCTTGCGGAAGTGCACGAGCTGCGCGCGGCCGTCGAGGTCGACAGACAGCAGAACCTGGCCATCGGGAGACAGAGCGATGCACGCAATGTTCTTGCGGTTCTCGAAAGGGAGCGTGCGCGACTTGTTGCTGCAACGTCAGCTGACGAATCCAGAAGAAGTAGCTTATATTGTCATCCCGAGCACCTTCCAGTTGTGGGAGCGCTGGAAGGCCGGCGGATAACCTAATTGAAGGTCCGACTCACTTGACAAGGTCGAAGACGGAGACACGGTTACCGACCGGAGACAGGACGCTATTGCCGTCCGCTGTGAAGACGACGTTGCCCTGGCGGTACACTGTACCGCACAGGTTTTGGAACTGGTAGTTGGCCTTCATGGCCGTGGTCGTCGCGGTGTCGGTGTTGTTGTGATCGAAACCTGGCCCGGTGACGGCTGAAGGATTGCGAGTGAGCAACAGTCCGCCGACTTTTGAAGGGATTTTCCCACGGTCGTCCAATCCATCACGTGAGTCACCTCAGATCCGAGGTCCGAGATTCAAGAGGTCACCGATGCTTGCTACCGATCTTATCACGACGACAGTGGGGTTTGGGAGCATGGTCCGCATGTAGCGGTGAGTGATCTCTGTGAAGTGCGGCATCTATAGCTTCGTGCTTGCTGAGCTGATGAGGTAAACTCGCGGATGGGTGCACTGGCTTGCCGTCCTCTGAGTGACTAACTTGCGCACCCTCGCCCCCGACCGGATGCCTTTTGCGCCCCGGAGACTTGTTTGCGTGCATGCCGCATTCACCTTCCTTCTGACCCGTTTAAAGACACTCACCATGTTCTTACCTTTCACCCCTTCAATTTGACGCACCTCTGTTGAATCGACACACCATGGCACGCTTTATTGGAGTGGTGGGCGAAGGAGCCTGAAACGCTAGCTGATAGCAGGTTATCTACAGGAAGCGCCGGCCCGCGGAGCAACACGAAGTAGGCTGTTGTCCTCATATCCAAGCTGACAGCAGGGATCCACAGAGCTATCTCACGACGAGCCAACGCCGGAGCCGACTCCGCCCACTGGAAAGATGACCCTTAGATCAGCTACACGCGCAACGCCTCCACCTTCTTACACCTATGCAGCGCTCACCGCGAGGAAGACCTCACCGCCAGCAAAGAAGCGCTCTCGCCCTGATCCTCCTGTGAAGACGGAAAGGAGTCCTTCTCTCACACCGATGCACCAGTGGGAGAAAAGCCGGCGGTCTGACTTCCCTGTGCCTTATCGACACGCCTCTGCTCGTAGCAGCGTTGCACTCCCTCCTCCTCGCCCCCGTCGCAAGCGAGTGCTGAGTGTGCCTGAGGACCTGCGCCATGCTGCCTCTCAAGTGCACACGAAGCTCGCTCTGCTCGGTGTTTCACCTTCTGAACCAGAGCTGGTCCGGCTCGTGCTTCCGGTTCTACTGGGGCGCTTGTACGACCGCGAGCACCTCTGGGATCATCTAGGTAAGCTGGACTGAGGTTTCCAGAAGCTGACGATAGACCTCGAATCCGAATGCTGGCTTGAATGCCTCCGTTCCCTAATGCTGCAGGTGCTAAGCATGCCGCGCATCGACTTGACTCGCTCGTGGGCTACAGTGCAGGCAAGTCTGAAGAGACAGGTCACCTCAAAAGCACCCGGCACGGCGCTCCTGTCGCGCCTCAACCACGCTTGGAATGAGAGAAACTTCCGCTACGAGATTGCAGGTGAGCTTCTTCGATGTGTTGGCAAGCTAACGAATCAGACGTTCTGAGCCAGGCATATCAGCGTCAAGCGCAGCCAACGCTGGCTGTGGCCGGGGAGTTTGTGTACGAGGTGGAGGGGTTGCAGCGGGCGCTGATCCGCGCCTTGTGGTCGTAACTCGTAATGGATGGCTATATGAGCTCTCCTCGAACAACGGTGCAGCTTTGGACAGCAGGCAGACAAAGGAGACAACTCAGCGACTCGGCTCCCAGCATCGAAACGGCTTCTCCTGAGAGTGCATCTTCGCACACTCGCCCCCGCGCCCAAAGGATGTGGACGGACGTGTGCATGTCTTCAGCCCTCTTCTGTGACATCCATAAAGGCACTAACGTCGAGTGACTCATCTTCACATCTCCCTACCCTCCACTGACGACGCTGCCCGTTTACGGAGCTTCGCCATGTCAGGCATGGAAATGGTAAGCTGCGGAGTGCTTCAAAAAGCTGATACCAGGTTCTCTTCAAGGGCAGATCCGCTCAGAAGCAGCCGGAGGTTAGCTGCAGATGCGCGTTCCGTTAGCTGACAGCAGGCCACACCTGCGCGTAGGAACGACATGCCGCCCCCGCCCGTTCCCTCGCGCGCGCTGACACTGCACTCGACGGCAAGGGCCTCTAACTCGGCCACCCACGACGTCGTAGACCTCACCAAGCCCCGCCCACGCACGCAGGAGCCCTCCGCTGCACCATCCAGGAAGCGCTCCTACTCTACCTTCTCGATCAAGACCGAGCGTAGTCTGTCTCCCAGGCCCTCCGTCAAGCGTGAGAGGGGCGAGAGGAGCGAAAGCGAGTGGACTGTGACGCCTCGCAGGACGCCCGCCGTCCCGCCACCTCGCGCCCCTTCCCACACTCGCATGCCCTTCCGTCATGCCTCGAGCGTGAGCACCGTCGGCCTGAACCCTCCTCGTCCCCGCGTCAGTCGCAAGAACACCGAAAGCAGCAGCGGTGGACTTGGTGGCCAACCGGCGCCTGAGGACTTGCGCCACGCCGTGTCGCAAGTGCGCAACAAGCTCGAGACCTTCGGCGTGCTCTCCGACGGCGAAGCGGGGCCGGCGCTCGCCGCCCTGCTCGGACGTCTTTACGACCGCTCCCACCTGGCTGATGAATCTGGTAAGCCGCGCGGGCGAAGCTGACTCTTGGTGAAAGCATGTCAGCTGACAACAGACGTTGCGGCCGAGGGATTGCTCGGGATCCTCTCCTCCGTCATGCTCCAGGTCCTGAGCATGGCCCCTTTGCATCTCGTCACGTCCTGGTCCACCACCAAAATCGGCCTCAAAGCGCAAATCTCTACCAAGGCACCAAGCGACGGCGATGCTCGCACGCCTAAACGACGCGTGGAATGGGAGGGACTTCCGCCGCCAGCTTATTGGTGAGCTTTCATGATCCTTCGTGCAGCTGACAGACAGAGAAGTCGGGACAGTCATCGGATACCCGCCCTCCGACTCTGACCACGGTCGGGGAGTTGGTCTATGAGATCGAAGGGCTGCAGCGCGCACTCGTCCGCGCTCTGTGGCCATAAAGTCAAGCAAAATGTGTAACACGAATGAGTCTATGATCTGCATTGCAATGTCTATACCTTAAATGCCCTATTGAACCTAGTGAGTGCCGTTCTCAGCGACGCGGCCCTTGAGCGCCTTCTTCTCGTCCTCTGTCCTGTCCTCTCCGGCGGATCCGAGACCCTCAGACGGCTGGAAGAACGAGCTGTACGGCACCAGCTTGGCGTTGGGGTTGAGCTCGAGGCCCCATCCGGGCTTGTCGGTGACCTTGATGCGACCGTTCTCGGGCAGCGGCTCGTCGATGAACAGGTCGCCGAAGGAGGCATGCACGCTCTCTCCGTCGGGCGAGTTGGCGATGTACTCGCAGAACTCGGAGTTGGGGAAGGACATGATGGCCTGGAAGGAGTACGGGCCGGAGCCGTGGGGCACGACGGGAATGTCGTACGCCGCAGCCATGTTCGCGACCTTGATGAGCTCGGTCAGGCCGCCGAGCCACATGACATCGGGCTGGATGATGGCGAGGTTGCGGCCCTCGATCAGCTTGCGGAAGCCGTACTTGCTGTACTCGTGCTCGCCGGTCGTGAACTTGATGTGCGGGAGGGCGCGGTGAAGGTCGGCGTGCCCATCAAAGTCGTCCGGGTGGAGGCACTCCTCCCACCACTCGATGTGGATGCCGGCCCGCTCGACGGCGCGCACGACCTCAATCGTGTACGGAACGTCGAGCGACATGTAGCAGTCTACCATGAGGGGGTAGTCGGGACCGACCTGGTCGCGGCAGTCCTTCAGGAAAGCGACATTCTTCCGGATACCCTCCTGTCCATCAGACGGGCCGTGGGGCAGGGGCACCTTGCTTCCCCAGAAGCCGAGCTTCTTGGCCACACGCGGCTTAGGACCAGTCAGGTAGAGCGGAATGTCGGGCTTAGTCGCGCCGCCGATCATCTTGTAGATGGGCTCCCCGCGGATCTTGCCGATCAGGTCCCAGATAGCGAGGTCGACGACGGAGATGGCAGCGAGGGGAAGACCCTTACGGCCGTAGAACATGGAGGCACGGAACATCATGTCCCACATCTTGTTCGTGTCGCGCGGGTCCTGGCCTACAACGAAGCGCTTGTAGTGCTCCTCGATGAGCCAGCAGGCAGGGGGTCCACCGAATCCGGTGGCGTAACCAACAGTTCCATCAGTTGCCGTAACCTTGACGAAGATGGAACCGAGGACACCGATACCCCACGAGGTTCGCGAGGAGCGGTACTCGGGGTACTTGTGCATCGGGCATGAGATGTTGCCCTGCACAATCCAGTGCTGCTGCGCCTGGCGGTGGTAGTCACCGCCAGAGCCCGTCGCGGACGGGATGAACGTCTCGAGCTTGGCCTGGATATTAGCGTACTGCGAGCGGAGCGAGTGATGGGTGCCGGAAAGCTCGGCTGAACACGCCTTCGAGGTCGCGGAGCACGGAGACGATCACATCGCACAGTGCTCCGTGCCGAACATGGCTCCACCTCCGAGGCTCATCTCCATGTCTCGGAACTCACGATGGTAGGCCACTCGTTGCTAGCAAGGTTCTTCGGCATGGTGTAGGATAGATGGATAAGACAGTTCGGCGAGCCGACCGGCGAGGACTTATATGTCGCTTGTCGTCGGAGCGGCGGGGCGCACAAGTAGCCGGGTCATCTGCCTCTATCAGTGTCTTCGGGGGATTGGGACCCCGGTAGGAACCTGGGAGGAGCCCGGCAGACTCTGCGGGGAGTCCTGGAGGAACAGATTGTGGAGCACGATTGGCCAGCAGACGGCCCGGAGGGATAGTCGGGGCGTCATTGTGCCGAGATCCCGGGCCGGTGTCAGGTTCGGCTATCTGTGTGCAGTGCGTGGATATCGCCGTCAGCTACAACGTCGGATCGGGTCTAAGTCGACGGCCGTTGAGACGACCACTGTCGGGAGCAATGAGGCATTAGTTGCCGGCGTGCACACGGATCGGTGGATCGGCGCGGGTGTTTGATCATGTCAGCCAGTTCCTCGGTGCTCGGTGGAAAGATGTGCCGACTGGAGAGCTTCCTGCGTGATATCGTGCAGCGCCCGATTTGTCGGTCCCTTGTTGCATACCAACTTCTGCGCTCTGGCAATTCTGGACCGCGTGGAGCAGCCGTATATGTACAGCATGTGACTGGCGTGCACAGTTTGTCAGACTACCGAGCGTTCTGGGCCCCACAAAGAAAGTCACCGAACGAGGTGGGCGCCAGTGACATGCGTACGCGATCCGGAACATGTCTTCTGCCGCCCCCGTGAACATTGACTTCATAATGCAAGCACGTCGGCGACACCCACGCCCGCCGTTGTCAACAGGTCCAGCTTGCGTATATCTTATTTCTCCGCCGACTCCGTCCCCGAGAGCTCCGCCGTCGAAGCTAGAACTGAGGGAAGAGGACACGCCGATAGCAACATGGCTGGAACGAGTACGACGAATCAGGTCACGTCGAGGCTGTTGCCGGACAAGGTCGTCGTGATCACGGGCGCCAGCCAAGGTATCGGCCGCGCTGTCGCCATCGGTAAGCTCCAAGCCGACGGCATGCCTGCCAGAACGGCAGCTAGGCTACATTGAGCATGGCTAACATCAGCTTGCGCCGAGAATGGCGCCCGGCTCGTGCTGCACCACCTCGGCGAGTCGACCCTCTCCGACGCCGAGAGTTTGAAGGCCGACCTCGAGAAGAAAGGCACACCTGTCACTTTGGTTTACGGAGACATCTCGGAGCCGACGACGGCCGCCGCAATCGTCGATGCCGCCGTCTCCGCTTACGGCCGGATCGACGTTCTCGTCTCGAACGCGGGCATCTGTCCCTTCCACTCGTTCCTCGACATGCCCCTCGATCTCTGGAACAGGACGCACGACGTGAACCTGACGGGCTGTTTCCTGGTGACTCAGGCGTGCGCAAATGTTATGACGAAGATGGGCGGAGGATCCATCGTTGCCATCTCCTCAATTAGTGCACTGATGGGAGGCGAGTTCCAGACACATTACACGCCCACGAAAGCCGGCGTCAAGAGTCTGATGGAGAGCTGCGCCATCGCCCTGGGAAAGTATGGGATCAGGTGCAACTCTGTTCTGCCAGGCACCATCCGGACGGCTATCAACGAGGAGGACCTGAGCAACGACGCGAAGCGCGAGGGCATGGAGGCCCGCACCCCGCTGACGAGGCTGGGTAAGCCTGAGGACATTGCAGGCCCCGTTGTGTTCTTCGCAAGCGACATGAGTGCGTACTGCACTGGCGCGTCGTTGCTCGTCGATGGCGGCGCGGCCATCTCGCTCCAGTAGAGCGTGTGGGGGGATGTCGAGTATGTTGTAACAGCGCAGGCATGTAATCACCAATCCACCAGCTCGCTCCGACCCGGAAAACCCGACACCAGCTCGGGCGGCTACGGCTAACTGCTAAGCTAGCGCACTGTCTCGCGATAAGGATCCGAGGGCACAGATGACTAGCGTGATACGTGCTCGCGGCAGCTGTTAGTGGAATGGCGATATCGAGATGATCGGACAAGCCGAGCAGGACAAACCGACGATGGTGCGGAGAGCCTAGCCATGTGGCATTCGCACGCATTCCAACGATTTCTCATTACCAGCGACCGGCCAGGAGAGGGACATGCAAGCGGACACAGAGTTAAGCCACACTGACGCGTTGATGCTGCAACTCGGTGCGGTGAAGCGTTGGTGCAGCGACCCGCAGATTGACTCCGGGGTTGCCGAAGCCAGGAGAGTGCCTTTCGCCGCCCGTTCGTTGTGACGGCAGAAGAGAATCGTCGCCGAAAGCGGCCAAGCGTTCCCGCCGAGCAGAGTTTAGCCACTGAATGCGTACCTGGATGGTAGCATGTGCTGCATGTGGTGCTACTCCGTCACGAGTCGCATTGAACTGCATGTGAAACGCACTCGAGGACGAAACGCTCTCACGGAAGAGCACGGAACAGGCGGGGGAGTGTGACAGGCCAGGCACGCCGCTACTCCGCTGTGAGACGGCGTGAATCGCCCTTCATGTGAAGCCGTTATCGGGTACACAGGTCTGGGGTGTGCATTGATTGAGTTGTGTGCAGAGTCCAACGTGCAGACGGCTGGCGAGTAGCAAGCGGGCCATCTCTGATCCGCCCTGGACGACGGTCACTGCTTGCACGTGCCGCTAGACCACTCCGAATCTCCACTTGCGCGGCCCCCGCCGCGCCGACGCATGCCCGGCCCGCTCGCCGACGTGTCGTCCTCGTCCTCTCCCTGGGACCGCGTCCCTTTCGTTGCTTTGTTGCTTTGGTCGGTCCTAAGACAACAAGGCGGGTCCTTGCGTGGCCTCGGGAGCTTGGGTGCATAGTGGGAGGTGGACGCGATCGAAGGCCCTGCCAGTGGTTGGGTCGCGCAGCAAGACATCAGGACACCGAGCCATGCGGGTAATTAGCCATTTCTCCCGATCAGCCGTTCTTCCGGACCGAGAAACTGAGTCCCGCTGAGGGGCCACTTCCTGAGCTTTCTACAGACCCATGTTGGGGGCCTGGAGGCAAGTGGAAGCGGGCAGTCACCATGTGCTGCGTACGCGGGTCATGACAGCCGAACTTTGCTCCGCCTCAAAAGCTCCGACCAAATGTGAGTATGTGGGTGGTGCTGTGTGCCATGCATTTGTTGTTGTTACAGATGAGGCGTGGCGCCGCGGCTTCGTTACGAAGACCGGCGCAATCCGCCGAGTCCGCCGCCCAAGGTCATGTCGTGATTGTGGGCGCTGCGGGGGTCGTCTATGGTGAATGAATGCTGTGCTGGACGCTGAGTCGTCCAGTGATTATTATAAGGCTGATATGGTCGTGGAGTCCAAGCTGTCTGTGCTAGTGGCTAGAGCAAGTTATGACTCCGCCCGCCGCCGCTTAGCTTCGTCTAACCGCCCCTTCAGCTTCTCCAGTTCTCGTCCGACGGCCTCCAATGCTTTCTGGGCATCTGTCGGGTCCATGCCTGCTACGAGCACGGCAGCGATTCGGTCCTCGAGCTCGAGGAAAAGCGCCATCAGCGTATCTACCGTCAGTTCCTGATGCCGATGGTGAGGTCGCACCATAGTCCTCCTCGGTGACGTCGAGTTCGGGGGATGGCGAGGTCTTGGGCGAAGGAGAGGTCTTGGGCGAGGGGGTCATGGACATGGGCGGGGTCGGAAATGGTCGTGGGAGGAGTGCGAGGGCCATGTTTATCTTTGATGGATGGGCTCGGGGCGGGGCGATCGAGAGTGTCCGGTCTATATATACGAGTTGGGTGCTGATGCACTGCAAAACTTGCCGAGATATAGAGCAGCGTTGCAGCACAAGCGTCCACAGGTGGCAGAAAGTCTAGGAGGGCATTGAGCGCGATCGCTAACGGTAAGCATTAGCTGAGAAACAGCATGCTCAGGGCGCGGCTGGGTTCCAGGATCCGAAGTTTGGAGCGCGTGAGACAGAGAGCCACGCCGTGCGCGGTAGTCCTGGTGGATGTGCGGATGTCCTGCTGCTCCTGTGGATTGTATTCATGACGAAGCGTAGACTACTGGGTTGGCATGCTGGCACTGGCGCAAGCGGGGTGCGGCGCATGCGTGCGCGCTGAGCAAGCAGGTTGCGTTTAGCTAGCTGCCGACATGAAACGCCGCCCAGCCGCTGGCCTCTGCAGTGCGTGTGCAGTGCGAGCGGGCTGCACTGCAAGCCCGCACTCGAGTTTGCTGCAGCCCGTAGCACAGCGCGGGACACTGAGGGGTTAATGACAGGCGGAGTAACTACCAAGTCACCAGCAGTTCAGGAGCGAGGAGCAAGGAGCAAGGCGGTGGGTCGTGCCTCGTTTCGGTACCTAGAGCTCATGCCTTTGCTTTCGAGCCTACGGCTTGGAGAGCTTGGGTTCCTGGCGCACGAGGATTACGAGGTGTACGTGAGCTGAGAGCGGCATCGGCTAAGAGGCCGAGATTGGTATTTTTGGGTGTGGGCCGAGTGGGAGACTTGGCTCTATAGAGCTGAGACGTAGAGAGGGGCAGGGGGCACCATGTGATGCTGCCGTTCCTGCTCCTGCGGCTCGCAACTATCGCAACGTGGTGACTGCCTTGCAAGGTGGTGTGGCATGACATAACGCCTGACGACGTAGAGGATCTAAGCTCTACGGAGTCGGCGGCTGAAAGGATGAACGCTCCGCTTTCGGGTCGCAATTGGCGTGCGCTAGCGACTTGGAACCATTCACTGCCGCCTGCTGCCGTCTTGTTTGAGCTTCCGCATGCCGTGCTAGTACTGAATGACCCATGCAGAGCTGGAGAGTTGCTGCACCCACTCTTCAACCGGGGCTCAGTGGACCATAATACTCCGCCCCCACACCCAATCGCCGGGACACCCCGCAACCCCACCTTGCCCAGGCCGGCCCGCATTGTCCCAGATGAATGCGTGCGTGTATTCTGTGTATGACTCTGTAACCAATGTTGCACCCAGCAGCTGACCTTGGAGACATTCTGAAATGAGAGTGCAGTGGGAGCAAGTGACACAGTTGCGGCGACGTGCCCGCCGTTCCTTCGTCTCCTTTTCATCATGTTCCTGTCGGTTTGTACCTCGGTCCCTGGAGAATGGCCCCGCGTCCTGTCCTGCGCGGAGCTCTGGGGCTCGGTACAGGATGCATGCTGGATATACCTATCGCACCCTGTTCAGTCGTCATTGTCAAACGAGCTGTCCGGATCTCTACGAGCGATCGCAGACCCTTCATCGCTTGTCTCGAGAGTGGGAGCGGAGGGCGCCGCATCAACGGCGACGGCGCGGCGGTAGGGCGGACTCCGAGCAAACAGGCAAGAGTCAGGCGGCCTCGGAGAGAGGCCCGGGTGATCTGAAACAAATGCTCGACACTGAAATGCTCTTGAAATGCTCGCATCCGCGGGCAGCTGTCGCCCTCGGTGTGCACTCGGAATCTCGGTGTTGGAGGCTTTCCGGAGCAGACTGGGATCAGCCTGATTAATGCCTCACTGAGTACTCTGAGCGCAGATCACGAGCCGGCGCTAGCGTGAGACAGAGAGCCGTGACGATCAGCGCCTCTGCCGTGGCTTTACGGCTGTAGGTGAAACCGTATCCAAGAGCGCCGACGCCGACGCCGCGAGGCGGAGCAGTCCTGTACTGTCGGCGTGACAACGAGCTCGCCAGCGGTGCCCCCGACTGACGACAGGAGCAGCGGGCAGGGGCCCTCCATACGTAGTTGATTACATTCTTCGCGGGGAAACTGGGACAGCAATGAATCTCAGGATCGTGGCCGGTGTCCTGACTTCCTGACCGCTGCCCGCGTCTCGTTTACTGCGGTGGTTCGCTGAAACCCGTGAGCTTTCAACCTCTGCACATTCCAGCTCTTCAGCTCTCGCGTTCCACCTGCTGCGCGTTCCGAGTATTCCAGGCGTTCCAGACCATGCAGTCTGTGTTCTGCACACTCGAGACATGCCCGCGCTATGCTGTAAGCATACTCGGACGCAAGTGTAAGCATAATTGGGCAGTCGAGGTCGAACGACAGCCACACTGCTTCCGAGCGGGTGCTCCTACCCTCGAGAGTCACTTCCACCCTCTCTCCTGCCAGAACCAGGAGTGAGGGTCAGGATAGTAACCGTGCCGTCATGTTCCCTTCAGACAGACCGCAGAGTGCACAGTCCAAGTCCGAAATCCGAGATGCCGAAGAGTAACTCACCACACACGTTGTATAAACATAACAGTTGAGCGTCGGCCCTTCGGCGCTCCCCACAACTTCCAGCACCGCAGCGGCCACCGAGACTTGACCGCGGGGATGGAAATGGGAAGACTGCACAATCGAAAGTCACTCCTGCGCATGATTCTTTATGTGCATGAACGTCACGGCAGTCAGCTTCACGGCCTCAGTGACCAGGACCAAACAGCGGACCTCAAACGTCAGCTCTCCCCTCGCCGCTTCCGAGGCCATCTCACTTCACCCCGCCATCCTCAAACCACCGGACTCTGGGTCCACTGAGACCACTATGAGGCTACTGAGACTTGCACCGCTCAACTGGAACTGGGTCCGGCGCCTCTGCACATCAGCGTCGGGGTGTCGCTGACCGCTCTGTGCGCTGGTGAATTGCGCACAGACCGCCGTCGTCATTGAAACCCCGAGCAAGAACCTTGCTCACGCGATCGGAGGATTAACTGCACAGCATCTCATGTCAAGGCAGGGACAAGCCCTTCAAAGCCAGCCTGGCCTCTCCTGTCCCAGCACTGCCCGACCCAGAGGACCCAGAGATGTAATCATAGGGTCAAAGAGGACAGAGGTCGCCCTCTGGCGCCATCGTCTGCGGCCGCAACAGCGCTCTGCTGCGACTTTGTGGCGCCAATCATCTCACTTTCGATGCGCTCGAAAACGGGCATCTACGCCGCGGCGGCCGAGTCCCACAGCTCACTCAACGACGGCTTATTTATCACCATGTGTATAGATAGCAACCGCTCGGCGGCCGGCGTTCTGACGGCTCTCATCTGAACTGTGTTGCTTATCTACGCCCAGCTGGGCTTGGCACTGACCAGCCGACCTCGTCGCTTTGGTCGCTTCGGCCGGCTCCCCATGCTCCCCAGTCAACCTGTCAACTGCCAAGCTATACTCCTGGATCCTACAGTCACGTGTTTCAGGATCCGATCCACCAGTCATGTACGAGGATCACTAAGAGTAAGATCACGCGCCTGATCTTGATTTCGCGTTTTTCACCCTATAAAAATGCATGCATGCATTCCAATTTTTTACCATGGGTACTATGTCTCCTACTCTCTCACAATACGAAAGAGGGGAGATCGTCGGGGCCTGGAAGATGGGCCATGCCCTCCGGGAGATGGAGCGCGAGCTCGGGTACCCTTACTCCACCATCCGAGACATCATCGAGCTCTACAAGAAGACCGGCGCGACTGTTACCCTGTACGTCAAGCCTGAGAAGCAGCTTAGCCCCCGAACTAAGCGTAAGCTTGCCCGCGATGTCAAGGAGAACCCGTTTGTGAGCCTCACGGAGCTCGGTCAAGAGTACGACGTCCATCGGACCACCATTGCCAGGTACCTGGCCGAGATCAACATCTTCTCGCGCGTCGCCCGTCGAACCCCGTTCCTCAAAGCACACCATATCAACATGCGCATCATCTACGCTGTCCAATACCGCGGTTTCCGTTGGGATTTAGTCATTTTTACGGATGAGTGCACCATCTGTAACATGAATTACGCCCCTCCGAGGTGCCTCCGACCGCCGAACGAGCAGGACAACCCCCTTTACACGATACCGGCGATGGCGGGGTCCAGGATCGCAGTCAATGTATGGGGGGCCATGGTCAAAGGCAAGAAATTGCCGTTGCTCAACCTCACCGCCGAGATTAAGCGCCGAGAGCCGAACGCCGAGAAGTGGACTTTAACCGGAGATAGATACGCCGAGTATGTTCTCTTCGAACGGCTCTCCGTTTACGCCGCTGAGCTCGCCCGTGAGCGCGGCGGGGGCTGGACGGTCGAGGACAACGTCGCTCTCCACCATACGAACCTCTGCAGGTCGATCCGCAACGAGTGCGGCTTCCAATGCATCGACCATCCACCCTGCTCTCCAGACCTGAACCCAATCGAGCACCTCTGGGCGTACATCAAGATGCGCTTGGCCCGCCGGCGCCAGGCTACGACCAAAGAAGAGCTCTGGGAACAGATTGTCGACGTATACGAGCGCGAGGTGCCGCAGTGGTTCATTGACACGCTTGTAGACAGCATGCCCGAGCAGATCGAGACACTTATCGAACGGGAGGGTCTGTACACCGGATACTAGCGTTAGAATGCATGAAATTAGTACTGTTAGGTGCGCAGCGAGCAGGGCTTTCGAATGCACTTACTCTCGGACTTCTAGGTGCAATGGTGGACTGTACGATGCATGATTTCTACAGTTGCAACGATAATGAATGCGTGGGAACGGCCGGTGGAGCGGGTTTCGAAACACGTGACTGTAACTTGTCCAAGACTTACCGTACGCGGCTGCGCTGCCACAGGAGTATACCCTTGAATCTTTGCGCCAGGCTGTCACGGGAGGCGAGCCTAGTTCTCGCCGTGGGAGAGCCACCCTGCCATACCGCCTCACTCACGTCTACAGTAGGCAGCAGGCTGTGATACTGTGGTGTAGGGCGCGCAGGACGCCCGGGCGGCGTCCACGGCGGTCTACGTCCATCTGCCGCGCCTACCTAGCCGATCAGTCCCTCCGCACCCTTCCCCCGCAGATTCCGCAGATCGTATGCCGGTCCTCCACCCGTCCTCCACCCTAAAAGCGTCTCCCCACCTTCCCACCACCTCTCCCTCATCCAACTCTCCAACCAACGTCCAAAAACACATGCGCTCGTTCAAGCACAGGAGTCAGGTCACGACGGGGATCGAACCCGCAATCTTCTGATCATCGCTTGTCTCGCAGGAGAGAGCGAGAGAGTCGTAGTCAAACGCCTTGCCATTGGGCCACGCGACCATGCCCCTTCTGCCGAGTGCGTAAGGGTCGGGGGCGTCGGCGCGGGTGCGAGCGCATAGTGTCTCGCCCCCTGATACCTTCGGCCTCTACGCACTCAATGCATGTGAGGACAGAAGGGAAGAAAGGGAACAGCAAGTGCAGGATGGCGGTGAACGACGGATGATTCCCCGCTAGACTTCATTATCTCCACCACAGATGCCTCGCCATCTCCATCTCCATCTCCACCTCCAGTCCTCATTTCTTGATCCTCAAACCCTCTACCAAGTTTTGGCCCAGTTTCTTGGGAATACTGCAATGCAGATAAAGCAGATGCGAGCTTGTAATGCATACTGAGAAACGTAGTAATACAAAGAGATTCTATGACGGGTGTTTGCTCCGGTGGGCGTTCCTATTATCTATTATATTCAGAATATCTCCCCATTTTTCTCCATCCTTCTCCTCCCCCCCTCTCAAAGAGACAGAGAGCGAGCGCGCCTCGCTCCGCTCGGCGTCCGCTCGGCTTAGACCGAGTTGACCCTTCCATCCGGCAGCCTAATGTCGTCCTCCATCTCGCCCATCGCGCGCCTGTGCTCATTCACGGCGTGACGACGCGTGAGCCAGGTGGCGAGCGGGATGGTGATGAGCGACACGCCGACCCAGGCGAGGAGGATGCCGCAGTTCATGCCCAGTTGGTTTTTCGTGTCGAAGATGATGGTCCTGACGGCCTGTAGTTTTGTCAGCCAAACGCTTGCGTCCTCATGCGAGAATGTTTATAGATGCGAAAAGAGGCCATCAGCTTGTTACTAACCCGACTAGCATTGTAGAACGGCACAGCGACGCCATACCTGTATATCCAGGGCTGGAGCTCGTGCGGCAGATTGACCACGGACACGTTGACGATGATGAGCGGGATGAGGAAGAAGGAGATGAACCTCGGCCCGACGATCGTGATCATGAACTCGGTCGCGAACCCCACAGACGCCATGCCGAGGTACATGATGAATGCCCAGAGGAAGAATCCGCCCGCATACGTGAAGTGCGCCCCGAAGTGGATCTTGAACGGCAAATTGATCATGGCGAAGAAGAAGGACAGCGGCAGGTAGAGAATGAGCGGGAGGCAGATGCGGTACAGGATGTAGTGGCCTGTGGACATGTAGGGCGCGATGATCTCGCGACAGGCGTTGTTCGTCATGGTGATGATGAAGGAGAAGATGAGCATGTAGATGAGACCGACGAGCGTGATGGCCGTGGCGACGGGTTGGTTGTACGGCCGCAAGTTCTGGGGGTGGTAGCTGATCGGCTGCGTGAGTGTCGTCGGCGCGCGCGCGAGGGCCTGCACGTTTTGCGCACTGGCCGACGAGAGGTACTGCGCCACGCTCTCCGCGCTCATCTTGCCCGTGATCTTGCCCAGATCGCGCTGCAGTGCTGGAAGAAGGTAGCTGCCGATCGCCGTCTCGGAGCGCGCCTGGGCATACACGATCTGCACGAGGTTGCGGCCGTCGTAGGTGCTGTCGGCCGTCTCCCTCGCCCGCGTCAGGTTGGCCGTCGCGCCCTCCATGACGACGACAGAGGCCCAGGCGCCCTCCTGCACGATGTCGTTGTAGATTGCGTCCATGGTCGGGAACTCGTCCCGCGACGTGTAGAAGTAGTGCGGCGTGTCTTGCGGTCCGTCGAGCGCGAGCAGCGAGTTGGAAAGTTCGGACCCAATAGCCCCACCGTCGCGGTCGATAACGCGCACGGCTAGGCGGTTCACATACTTGTCCGCCTTCCAGAGACTGCCCCAGTAGACAGGCGCGCAGATCCACATCACCAGGATCGTGATGATGCATGTGCCCGCGTAGATCTTGTACACGATCTTGCGCAGCGGAGCGAGCTCGGGGTCGAAGACTGTTGTTAGCTTGCGTGCGTTGCTACGAAGCTCTGTTCTGTCACACTGACGCCCGCCAGTCTCAGGTGACTACCGGCGAGTGCGCGTGAAGAAGCCAGGTTTTACTCACATCCATGGGACCCATCATGCCCGGCTTGGGCGGGCCACCGGGGGGTCCTCCGGCTGCCTGCGCGCTCTTCTCGTTCACATCTACCTGTTCCGCCTGTTCCGACTTGGCCAGCGTGTCTTTTGTCCGTCCCATGCTGTCCAGCGTCGGGGTGCGCGAGAGCGTCTGGCGGCTGTCGTACACTTCGGGGTGGTGCGGGTACTCGATGCCGTTGGGGGGTATGGCGGGGATGCGCGCTGGTTGCGGATGAGGGTTAGTTGCCATCGCGGGGCCGGAGTCGGGGCTCGATTTGTTTGCTTGCGGGGGATCGGAGGAGGTGGGCGTACATCAAGATGCG